ACTGACGCGAGACTGTCGTCGTGTGTGCGCGTGCACAGCGCGACTAGACGCGGCGACAAGTAGCGAGCGCGCTCGACTCCCCTAGCTTGTCGTCGCGACTCCGCGACTCTGACGCCAAGTGTGCGAAGCTTTGAACAACTTATATGAAATTGTCGGCCGCAGCCTGACGTCGCGTCTAGACGCCGAGCTGTCGCTGTTGCGTGTCGCCTAGTGTGCGCCTACATTTAGAGCTTGGTAAATGCTCTAAGTACCCTAAAAATAACTATATTATTTCGCAGGATACGATAACGTCGTATACGCAGATCACAATGGTTCTTTTTTCTTGGACTCATTTAATCACAAAGTGTATGTGTTCAACCACGAACTGAATCTATATCACGTTAACTGCAAAGGCGAATTTGAAGAGGTATGAAATAAAAGTTTTAACCAAAGCAGGAGCGAAACGATGTTGACTTTTTAAATTATGTAGGTACAGTAATCTTGGTACGAAGTGAAAGATCTACATAGATTGGCCTTCTGCTAACTTTCCAAAAGCTACCTATCAACCGGTACGGCAACTTTGAAAACTTGTAAGAGACTATCAATATTGTTTCCGGTAAAGAACATGATTGTTTTTAAAGTGCATAGGCAGTCAGGTAATGGTATCATCTATAATGTCCACTTATAGAATATTCCACATGCTTGGGCGACAAGAGATGCCGATAAAGTTATGCTCAGCTCAACAGCTACTAGCTGTAGGTACTCTACCTACACTATATCTATCAGGAAACTTGTTTTTATCAGGTATCTGAAAAAGATAAATACTATTTCGACACAATCGGGCGATACATTATAAAAGAAAACAGTGAAAGCAAGATCTACCAATGTGCCCCTTGTACAAGTTCGTACAAGCTTGGGGAAGACCACCTTCTGACCAAAATCACTCAGGACTGCGGACACAGTGAGAATTCGAGGAAAGAGTGTAAACATCAGGTTAAAACTATTCAAGCTGATGAGGTGATCTTACCAAAAGTCAACGAAATCAAGAATACAAAAGGTCAGTTTAGTTTAATTGTCATTAACCTAACCCAACTAAATATTTTTTTTATTGGACTGGGAAATAATTTTACAACGCATCGGATCTGGCATCGTCATCACCCAGGCCCGGGTTGAGTTATCCAGATGAGAATGGTAGAGTACCTACCTAGACGAAGAAAACTGAAAAAAAAGCTTTTATTCTTTTATAATATAAATAAAAGAGAGCTAAACATTGTTATTACACTTGGAAATAAGCCGTTTGATGAGTAGGTACATGCTTACTTACTATTATACATGTTTTCAAATAACAGGCAATGTATAATGCGATTCAAATAAGGATAGGAAAACCAATAACCTCCATCTGTCAAATGTCGGTTGAAAAGTACGGTTTGCAAAAAAATCTCGGAACACTTTTTTAGTTTAGATTAGATTCTAGAATAAAAACCAAACATTTTTAAACAAACAATAACAAATGTTGATAATATAATTTTGAATTGACAGCTATGACGCCCTATTCTTAGTTGAATCGCATTATACCTACTTTGCGAGGGAGAGTGAGTGAGACTTGAGGAAAAAAAAGGTCGAAAAAAAACTGATTCAGCCTGAATTAGTAAACAGTAAGGGGTCTATAGATGATTCTAATTTCCATTAGATGGTAGTTTTTTAATACATAAGCTATTTTGTGCCCGGATGTAGCGGTATTGGGAGCCGACCGCGGCTCGCCACCATTTTAGTTTGACCCCGCGCTTACTAGAGGGCGTTAGGATAATTGAGGAGTTGGCGAACAAAACGGTATAATTACGCATCTGGTAAAATTACTTTCTTTTTACAGTCGGGAGGTTTTGGGCCCGCTGGATTTGAATTACAACTCATTTATAATGAAAACCGCCTAAAACAGTGTTAATATTACTAAATTTATAAATAAAAAACCACGCCAAATTTCACTGTAGGTATGTCATACATAGGGCTGCCATGTCTAAAATGTGGCAACCAGGATCAGACGCGTGATAACCCCGGATTTTGGAGCCCAGAACCCGGACAGACCAAAAAAAAAACAGTTAAAAATGTCACAAATCAACTTTTTTTATGTAGATGTAGACAAAAGAGCTAGCAGTCCTCCTCATAATAAGTGGTCACTGCTGTACATGGAAACTTGCAGCACCAAGGGCCACTCATGCGTTGCCGGGTCTGAACGAAAAGGTTCATTCGCCTTTTTAGGATTACCATATCATAGCTATAAGAAAAAAATACTGAGGAAAGTTTACTCCAGATCTTGCTGGTACGCAAAAGAAAGGAACACATGGTGCTCGAACTTCAGGCGTCCAGATGGTGGGCGTTAAACTTCTCTGCGGTGTGTGTTACTGTGGAGAAATTTGGCCATTGGCATCCGGTTCAATAATTCCTATTAATAATCTCCATTGGCAGAGCTGATTTTTGAGAAAAAGATTTATTTATTTTCAACGACATTTAAATTGACGGATTAATTGGCGACCCAAAACAGGAAATTTTTAAACCCGGACTACAAATGAAACCCCGCCCGGACGCTCCCCAGACGCCCTATAAACTAGGACAAATCCGGGGAAACCTGGACGGATGGCAACCCTAGTCATACAGTTTTATACAGCTCCTGTAAACTTTTATTTTATTTAATTATACCGTTTTGTTCGCCAGCTCCTCAATTATTGTACGTGGGCGCTACATGGGTGAGGGACGACTCTGAGAACAAAATATGAATTTAAGTAGGTAGCAAGTACGCACGATTTGGGCGCGACCAAAAGGCATGGCCGATTGTTGTTTTTTTTTGTTGTCCTAGATGTTGTACTTTATATAAAGGGCTAAGATATGGTGGGAGTACTTGACTAGGTTACCCCCCATGTTATTTTGCCACGCTCGAGTAAATCTCAAATGTCTGCTTTGGCTCCCCTACTATAGTACTCACCTTATTGATTTCTCTTCTTAGAAACCCTTAGTCCGGAGGTAGTGAAGTATCTCTGGGACAGTTTCGGCCATTTGCTGCCAGAGGCACTGCACGACGTCGGCAGAGACCAACCAAGGAATCCAATACAGTATTTTGCCCACAAGATTTTACTGCACAAGTAATTTGAAAATTTAGTGTTCACATAATAATATTGAATTCAACTAAATATTCCATTGAGATTTCTTATAACCTAAGATCTTGCGAGGCAATTCAATTTTTTTTCTCTCTTCAGATATAGTAGAACGTACTCAGAACTTTCAAAAAAGAAAACTCAGGCTGAAGAGTACCGATCTTACGTACTGAAAGCACGGAAAGAGGTAAGTACCTACATCATTATTTTAGAATAAGTACCCACACTCTTGCATTCAACTACATGGAGGTTAGAGAGAAGGAGAATGATGGCTGTAGAAAATAGTGTCTAATTGTAAAATAGTGTGTAATAATTATTGTTATCTCTTATCTATTAGACAAGTCCGTCCGTCCGTGGTGCTGTTTCAGCGGCCAAACCGTAAGAGATAGATAAAGAGAATATTTAAGTTATAAGTTAAGAATAGTCTGATAATACTACAAACCGGATTTAGTAACTTAGCACTTACGGTTTTCGAGAAATCACGAATTTCAAACGAAACCACAGAAAATCTCCGAAGTTCTCAATTAATTAAATACATTTTTTTTTAAATCAGGTTTTGGTGAACATTTGGTTCACTGGTTTGCTAGTTATTTATTAATAAATAAATTATAAATTGTTTTTTTATAATTTCGTACATAATTCAACTTACTTCATCTAACTGTACTCATAAACAGCTAACTTCACAGATACTACTTACCGACGGCAGCGCGGCTAGTGGCTGAAAAATGAACTATAAATCCTAAAAATTTACAGGGACAGGCGGGCTAATGCTTTAGCACGTACCGATCGTTTTCCTTCTCTCTAACCTTCATGATCAACTATTAAGCATGCATATAGTTGCTGGATACCACTAACCCGTTCGCTTCGAGTTGGCCGTCGATGATCGATACAATGTGTAACAGGCCAATCACAGGTACGTCATTTGGTACTGCCGACCAATAGGGTCGACTAAGTCTGTCTAGGAACGCCGTGCGGTGAGGCGGGAAGAGTGAAAGCGGCCAATTGGAAGTGAATGCGTAGAACTTGTTGTCTATTTCATCGCTGAGCAGTGGCGTAGCATAGGTCACTAGCACCCGGTGCGGATTCCAAATTAGCCGCCCTCTTATTTTTGCAATCCATTATATAAAAAAAATGAGGCATGGTAAAAAGAGTACTTTTATCGAATAACACTAACCTAAGAGTGAAATTAACATTTTTTGACATAGAGTAGAAGGTAGACTATCACAATATCACTTAGAAAAATTACAGAGAAAACCTTGCGCTTGCATCACCCATGCATAGAACCTGCATAGGTACCTGGGTATTTGGTAACAACAACAAAAAAATGACGAAAAAAAACTAAAAGAAATTAACTTTTTTTTATATTTTAATTTTTTTTCTCTATCTGCCACCTCCGCAGCGCCGCCCCTGGCAAAGTGCCGCCCGGTGCGGACCGCACCCCCCGCCCCCCCCCATGCTACGCCACTGTCGCTGAGTGTTGCCTATTGTATTTTTTACTACATACAAGCAATTAAGACACACACGTATGAATGTATTTATTATTTTTCTAGCAAGTTGCCATTGCCAGTAAGGCTTGGAAAGCGAAACAAACAAAGCATCGCAAACCAGAAGAATCCGATGATACTGAGCAACAAGCTATCTACAATGCTTACATAGCAGAGCAAGAGCGAATTATCATGAACAATGATGTTTAAAAAAATATTTACCCGTAGCATTTACCTATTCCTCCATGTGCCTGCGGTGTCACAATTCGTAACTAATTTACATTATTTACCATAGCTTGAATACATTTTTTATTAAATTCCAATTTTATATTAGTCGTGTTTCTTAAAGGTATTTATATTTAAGGGATATTTATATAAATAAAATAAAATCTGAAGGTATAGGTATTTATTGTTCAAGCGTCTACTAGATAATAACGAGACACACGCCGTAAGATAACGTAGACTTCCGACCGAAAGCAAAGATTTAATAATAAAAAACAACCTACAATTTATTTTTTTCCCGATGGGCATAAAAATATTCCAATTCTCTAAACCCACTGCCAGTTATATTTGGTTCATTTAATTAAAAAAAATCTAACTAAATTAAAAGTAAAATCTTAGTAGCACTATATATTGAAATAATATATTATAAGACTGCGCCGTGTTTAAACAATTTAGTTAGTGACAATGGACCAAAATAAAATTAATAAGTACTGAGAACCAGTTAAAACAGTAAATACTTTTAAAATGAAAATATTCACAATATTTTTCACTAGAAAACATACATACATACATGTATTGAAAAAACGAGACTAATATTTGACAGCGATTTTGTTCCATGCTTACAATAAAACTGATAACTAGGTCTCTTTACTATTATTATTATTATACACATACAAAAAATTACAACAGAATATACATTGCTTGGTCTTATTTCTTACAAAAAAAAGCAACTCAAGTTCATAAATTAATGAAATTACGGAAATATTAAGTCTATTACTGACTACAGAGGCTAATACAAAACAAGATTTTTATGTTCTAATTCGCTCAAACAGGTACAAAAAGTATTCACCCTTCTCTTCACAAGAAAAAATAGGCCGGCCATGATCCGCTCGGGAAAATTTAAAAAAGACGAAATTCTTAAAACTGTATAATATTCAATCATCCACTCGATATTATACATTAATATCACTCTATTATATTTTTAATTTATTACAGATACTATATACTATCATAGTAAGAGATATAGTATTGTTTTTCAGAATTTTATAAAATTGCGTTTCATGGGCAGCCCATAAATAGTTTTATTTTTCACATATTTGGTAACAATGTTAATAATGATAATATATCGGATCTCAGACTACCTACTCGATAACTTTTGTACAGTTTTGTAATTTGTTTATAATTTCGTTATTCATTATTATGTATACCTGAAAATGCACTAATGGCAAATCGAAATAAAAGCAAAACTAAGTTTCTTTAAGAAAAGAAATCTAATAATTTCATAACTCGTATTGATGAAATAAACATTATTTTAGCTACTAATCTTTAAAACTGTAAATTTAATAATTACTAAATTATAAACCTTATTACTTTATGATAAGAAATACCAGCAAATATTGAACGAACTACGACTGGCCAGTTTCTTTAATAGACCATTAAACAGACGACACGAAAGATTGTTTTCTGCAATACTAGTAGACATTTTTAACAATATGCTTTATATTTTACTCGAATTTCTATAATACATTCTAATATTATAACATTTATAAACGGCCAATGATAAAAGAAATTAAAACGTACATCTAAACTACGAAATAAAAGCTGTGAATCAGCCAAATAAAATCATTTTAATTCTGTACAAATATTTCAACTCTAAAAAGTAGTATCTGTTAGTTTCTACAATAAATGATTTGTTTGGAGGAAATGGATATTTGTGCCAAACATCAACGTTACACAATTTAAGTTTTTAATAAACTGTCAAACAAGATTATCACACCGCTGTGGAGAGGCAGGTAAGGGCGACACATGTACACTAAAATGTAAAATAAGATTTTTTATCTACGACTCAAAAGTTATTGCCATTCCACAGCAGTTGTGGAGAAAAAATAACACGCAGTTGTCGAGTGCTAAGTTTCAGTATAATTTTTGGCCTTTTTGTGGTTGTCGCGTTACTATATTCGCTACCATGGACAACCACTAGATAGACTATTTTTATTTTATGATCACGTATGTAGCTGATCTTTGTACAAAGCGGGCGACGATAAAAATAACGACAATCAACACAGACGAAGTTTAGTAGCATTCGGTTGTGATCAAATGAAATTGCGCCTACATTGATCTTCGAGACTTTTATTTTTATTTACAAAATAAAATACAGAGATTTTTTTTTCATTTAATATTAAAATGTGATCGCAATTCCTTTCGATGGTTACTACAAAATGTATTGTATTCATCTAAAATTTTATAGTAAACATGCACTATTGCAAAAGACGGTGCAAACTTGCAGACAATTATTGAAAACCTTACTACAGTAAGATTACAGACGACAATTTCTAGCATATATGCTGAAAGAGCTTTATTCGAAAATTAAAACTCATTCAAAGGCATTGCAATTTTTTAATTGAATTTATCGGTACAGTACATTTTTTTATTTATCGAGTAGTTCTACTATCCCATAACACGAGCAGCGCTGCCAAACGAATGTAGAACGCAGTATGTTTGCAATAGTGCATGTTTTGCTGTGAATGGGCGACTTAGTTCGCGCCATCGAAGAGTGCGTCGGCGAGCTCTGCCTGGCAGTCGAACGACTCCGAGCTGTCAGGGTGCTCCGGATAGTACTCCCTATATATTTTGTCCAGCAGCCCTCGTCTGTAACGGTTTAAGGTCATATGAATACGGACTTAAAGAGAATCTCGTCGTGACTAGGGTAATAATGCATTAATAAGGCTTCACACACTGCAGTGGATGTTTGCGTTACGTTTGAGCAACGAATAATTGGAATCGTGCCTTTCTCTGGGTATCACACTATCACACTAATATTATAAAGGCGAAAGTTTGTAAGTGTGTAGATATGTTTGTTACTTTTTGAGCGATTTTAATAAAATTTGGTATGAAGTTAGCTGACACTCTGGATTAACACATAGACTACGTTTTACTGCAAAATAAAATATCCCTAATAAACCGCGGGTAACACCGCGGGGCACAGCTAGTATTCTATAAAAATATGTGATCATCGTCTCCACTGTCTGTATATCCCCCCGAATATGACATCCTTGTCTGCATCTGGATGCGACATCGAAGTTCGTTGAGCTCATTTCACTCCGTGTAATAACATGAGAGGTAGGAATAGGAATTTGAAAAATCTAAAAGGCATTGCACCAAATCAAATACGTTAAGCCGTTGGCCTAGCTGCAGCTGGATGGGTGACCACTCATTATTCTCGATCTCCCATGAGCTTCAGAAGACACGTTAAGCCGTTGGTTCCGGCTGCCTCTGCAGTCGTTAGCATCCATAATACACACTGGAACCGCGTGGTGGATCATGACCCAATATACCTATTTCATCGATAGGGAAGGCCGGTGCTCCAGCAGTGGGAGCATTAGTAGGCTGATGATGATACCATTCTTATACTATGGATAAACATAAATAACCACGACTCAGAAACAAATATTTGTGTGAGGATTCGATCCCAAAACCTTTGCCCCCTTATTAACAAACGAAAACTACGCTTGGATTAGTAACTCCCTGTTTTGTCTTTGTCTATTGAATTATTATAAATTGAATAAAAATAGCATTTGAGTGACATGAACAAAACACGGCGTAACTGGTCTAAGCTTATTCCTTGTTTATTTATGGTAACGGTTTGAGCAGAAAGCAAGCAGAGAGCAGTTATTGCACCAAACTGGACCCTATTTTACACAGTCGACTTAACACACATACACTGACATACGTTAGTCAACTGTTTGTTGTGATCTATTTACTGCACCGATTTCATTAGTGAAATGTTCGATACTAGTTTAGCTTATGCGGAATTTTTCTTTGAACACAAAATCAGTGATATCAAAAGACTATATTCGGTCTTTATAAATTCTCCTGCATTGTTATTCACGTTTTCAAGTTTAGCTGAGAGCCGTTTTCAACTAACAGCGAAAACACTACAATTGTAAGGCAAATCTGACACAGCCCCGACTTTATGTCAAGAATTACCTTGGCTAATAAATAACTAGCCAAATAAAAAAAAATCCCTTGTTTCAAAACATTACTGTTGTTGAACTAAGATACTGAAAACAATACTACAATAATTGTAATAATCATGTCTGCCTGTAGTTTTTATAAGCATTTCCGAAAATAATTCTCAAAATTGTCACTAATCACCACGGTGTCACTCGAATAATATTGTCAGTGACTTATGTCGACTTGGTAAAATGGTGTTGACCATGTGACAATGTATATACTGACTTGGCAGCGAGCCCTCCTCCCGGCGGCAACCCCGGCACGTTCTCCTGGACCAACTCCTTCAGCACCTGCGAGAAGTGGCACGAGTCCTCGCTGTCTTCTGTGCCCGCGTTCTTTTCGATCAGCGCTGGAACAACAATACGTTATTGAAAAACCACGCTAGTTTAAGTTCTCTACGCACACTTGGTCGTAAACCCGAATACGAGTGCCAATGGAATTCACGTGAACGACTAAATGTAAATCAACGGAGTCGTTTTCGTTTTGGGTACCCAAAATCGTCTTCCAGCCCGTATTCCAATGAAAATATTGCTTCGTGTGCCCGAATTCGAGTGATGTCTTTCGTGTACCCGAATACGGGGTAACGACCAAATGTAATTGAGCCATGAGTTGCACCAACTTAGTTTAACTGTTCAGTTAAAGTACCGGTTAGGTAAAACACGGGTTGCTTCTGTTTTCGTATACGTATAACGAATGGTTCAAGCTGCCAGTGTATATAAATACCAGCCCTTATGACATCATTTTAAAGTTAGACGTTTCTTCATAATTTTATATTATGTATTTAAAGATTTGTGTAACACGAGGCAAATTATATTATTATTTTAATTAACGTAACCTCTGTTATCTAATGTCGTGTGCAGATTAAGTATAATATTATAATACACATACATATACATACATAAATATATAGGCAAGGTAGTTAGCATGCTAGTGGCATATAAAATCGAACGTATAACACTACTTTTAGTTCGCCGTAAGTGAGTGGCACTGCGTTCATTTATTTTTAGTGGCTCGTAACCCGCGGTGACTCCGGCTGCCAGCAGTCTAGAGGTGGGTTCAATAGGTAAAATTTACGAGATAAAAATTGGCATATATTTTTCTTTATGAGATTAAATTGCAGTTGATGTTTAATGAAGCACAGTCATCAAGATGTCGTCATTCCTCTATCGTTATATGTAAACCTTACGTCAAATAAATATTCAGGTTTTCCGTATTGAAAGATGATGAATAAGAAGATATACTTAGACGGTGTGATGACGATTTTACGACAACAATGTATTGTAATTTTATGACGAATAAAATGTATTCTTAAATGTTATTTATTTATTACTATATGTTTAAGTTGGAAATTAAATACATATATATTTCCCATCTCTAAAGGAGCCGCACGCGACCATAGCGATCGCCTCGTACAGTCCGTTCTGCGACTTAACCGCGACCCTGGCCTAGTTCAAGGTCCAGGAGGGATGAATCACCGTGGCCGTGGCTTACAAAACCACCACGCTGATTAGAAGAAGGATATCGGAAGGATATTATGCCTTATTATGTATGACCTTAAGCACTAATAAAGTTGTATTGTAAAAATTGCCATTTCATTTTGTAATAAAAAATAAGATTCTATTTTATTTTAGTTAATTGTATTTTATTATTATTACTATTATAAATAGGTTATTATGTTGATTTTCAATTGTATATTTTCATGAATTTGATGTTTAATCTATGTTGACGGTAATCTATATTAAACACTTCTGTTATCTTCTGTCTGGATGTTTATGTAAGCTACTCATAATATAATATTTATTTTTTGTTTGATTTTTTTACTGTTGGTGTTAAGTTTGTGTGCTTTTTATAAGAAAATTAATATAATACCCCCTTAATAACTAAACACTTAACTTAGAATGAGAAAATTGATTTTTATTCAAATAATAATAAACAATATGTCGTTATTAAAACGTTAAGTCAATTTTGATTTTTATGTTTCTGTAGCGAAAAATAAATTTTATTGATGGTGTTAAAAAATATGACTGTTTGAAGAACCAATCTATGTAGAAGAAATTGTAGGCACGTGTTATTTAAAGATAGTACCTAAGACATGAAACATTGAAAATTTTAATCGAGGCCAGTCCTCGTAGCATGAGGACCATAGTATACATTATATCACGGTTTTTAACGCGTGTAACTCAAACTCCGTAGCAATTTGACAATTGAGCCTGATAAAAATGCGTTATATATCATATCGCGGTACTCATGCTAGGCTGAGGTTTCTAATGTCATCAATAATAGCTTAATAAGTATTCAGCAGTAATCAGTTTTTCCTTATCATAAATACCTACATACATATATTGTAATCGTAAATTATGCAACTCCTATGGGCATGAATAACTCATCGAATGAAACTCGAAAACAGGTAAATTAATTCAGAATCTTTGTAACTGCCTAGATGCGTCGATTATGAAGTGATAATTTTAATGTATTGTTTACATTAAAATTATCACTTCATAATCGACGCATAACTTCCGACAGTATTACTTATTCTGCTAATTAGACCCCGTCTTTCCCAGTGGGCACTTTGGACAAGTGCCCAGGGCCCCGCGATCGATAGGGGCCTCCCTCAAATCAAATACAAAGTCCCTAGTTCCTGTTAAATCACCAAACGGAAGTCATAGGGGCCCCATTATCCTAATATGCCCAGGGCCTTCAATAGGTCAAAGACAGCACTGCCTAAAACAATGTATCGTACATAGATTAATAATGTCCGTCACTTCAGTATCATTCAGTTGAAAAGATCTTACTAAGGTGTGACAATCGAAAAACTATTTATAACAAAAAAAAATAGATCTGTGGTGTGGATTGCGTAAGACCCTATTTCCCTTAGAGAACTCGTAAATATAGGAAGGCTAAGGAAGTGGAAATATTAATATAAATCGGTAAGAATCCCCTGTTAAATCATCTTAAATGTTTGCAATGTCATCACATTGTACTAATGCTATTGTATGCAAATTAAATAATTGTAATGTGAACAAACTTATTATAAATACGAGTCGGACACGTGACACAGTCGAGCAATCGATAACAGCCAAGAAACAGGATTATTAATGCATGCATTGTACGGCTTCATCTTTTAATATCGCGTAGCATACTGAAATACGCGCATACGCGTAACAGCTGCCGGCGAGAGCACATTCATTGCTTTAACCCATTTTCATTAAAACTATCTGATTAAAAAATCTTTAAACAAAAATGGAAAGGTAAATTCTCAGGGTCAGGATTAAAGCAATGAAACTATGCAATAGTTACCAATCACTTTTAATTCGAATTAAAAAATATAAGTATTTATACTTATTATTCTTATCACAATTATTTTAGTAGTATTATTACAACCTTTAGTGAATTTTAAAAAGTTAATATCACAAATTTATTAAAATCATACGGAAAAGTTTTTTTTTTTAAATTTTATGTACACATGTAAGATGTAACTAAGTATTAATTATCCAAAATATATGATTATTATCATCTCATTAAGCAGGAGAGCTGTCGAATTCTAACATATATTACATATAGCGAAAAATCCCTAAAACATTAGTACATTGTATTTGTCAACTACCCAAAACACAAAATTCGAAGTCAAGCTTTATCAACTACATACATAAAACTTACATACGCCTATAAATTCAACACTAATTGTAAGTAAATAAATTTTATAAAATAAATACCAAAATTAAAATTTATAATGAATAATCTAATAATTATCTTCTAAAATACGGTTGCTAAAATATTTTAAGAACGCATCATTTATGGAGTGCGGGCGTACTTAATTATTCAATAATATCAACTGCCAATTGTGTCATGTAAAAATAAACACATAGTACTCGCCCACCGTAAAGAGAGAAAAGGAAGAACTATTTTAGAATACTGAAAAAATTGTTTGTCCTAAAATTGGGATTGGCCGAATTTTGAATGGATACATTTCCCCAACCGCGCGTTATAAATAGGTATCTTTACTGCTTCACGCTTACCTGCGGCTATTTGCGTAATATTGTCTGAATGGATGAATATACTGCGGCCTAATACGCGATTCTACATAACACTGCTAAGTGCAAAATATATTTGGTTACGATTTGTTTGTCATATAATTATTTGTAATGCATAAGCCTGGATGTATCTCAATTAAATCCTAATAATATAATGAATGTGAAAGTTTCTATGTTTTTGAATGTTTGTTACTCAATCACGCAAAAACTACTGAACGGATTTGGATGAAATTTGGTATTGTGACCTGGATGAAGACATAGGATACTTTTATCTCGGAAAAATGTCAGGTTCCTGTAAGATTCGCAAATAACTAAAATTAACGCGGACGAAGTCGCGGGCGGCTGCTAGTTTGACTATAAAATTAAGTGGCATTAGTGTTTTAGAGCAGGTGTTCATCCATTGATTGTTTTAACTGTTCATATGTAGTTATTTTTATTTTTATGGAGATACATACTTAGATAACAGTTGGAGCATTTTTATGAGACCTTATATTTGGTCACCTATTTCCACCAACACTCACTGATTTACAATTTTTAGAATACAATATTCTATAATTAACCTGTTAGCATAGCCAATAGATTAATAAAGAATTCTGATAAAAATATAATAAACATGACATAAAGGTGTTAGCAAGCATAATATAGTACATGGAAAGCTATGGTACAATACGCAATTGATAGATATGATAGGCAGTTAATTGTTGTTTTATATTTAGACTGCAAAATAATATAATTGTTGAATATATTAACATAATATTTTGCAGTATAGATTCAACAGATCCCTACCAATTAAAATTCTGTTTAAAGAGTTGATGCAAGGTACTGATTTTGATGATTCATTGAGCAGCACATTTAGGGTAGCAGTACACTTAGCATGACACAAAAATATAAGGAAGCTTAGACATAATATGACAACATAGAGTAATAGCTATAGCATTTGCTATGATTCTTAACTTTAAATTCGTTCTTAATTTGGTGAGGCTGTACTTGTCTTGTTTTCTAACTCTGTACTGATTTAATTACAGACACAAAGGCACATTTTGGCACAACACTATAATATTTCCAGAAAACCAAATATTGTTTACCCAGAGACTAGAACAAGTTATCTCACATTACAATATAGTAGTTCCTTTAATTAAATCAAAGAAATTACAGATGTGTGAATAATCACAAAATCATTAAATTAAAATAGATCCCAAATTGCAATCTATAAACACATTAATTAAAATGGTTATTCAACCATACTAGTTTTATATATACATATATATATATATATATATATATTTATACATACAGAGATTACAAGCTTTGAACTAATATGAATATAGGTTATTATATAAATGAATATATGAAATAATAAAACAGTTTATCTATACTTTAGTAATAGTAAACAACAGGAGTTTGTGTATCACTGTTGTATTATAAGTAGGAAAATTCTAAAAAGGTTGCTATAAATATAACCATGAAGTAAATAATTATCATTTGGCACAAACTAGTCATACTTTGGCAAATTTAGTTATAATAATAGATAACTAGTCATTTATGTAATATAAAGAAAGATATTATAAATAACTTGCTGAACTGACAGACAGACAGATTTCCCTGCCCAAAAAATAATTATATCCACTCAACTCAACTGCAGCAAGACCTATCTAGTAGTATTCTGTTCAACTGCTCAAGTTTTCTAAGATTAGCGTATGGAACTTAGTATTAGAATCCATAAAAAAAATTGAATGAAATTGGTTAAAACATTTTCAACTTATGGAATAACCAAGGGAAATAGGAATTCATTTTTATATAAAGAGATATGACTAGATATCATGGTTACTAAAAATGTGTGTGAGACATTTGGTTAATAAATATTATGTTCAAAAACAGTTTAATAATACCTAAGTATATCTGATTTTCATAAAAAGTATTCTCATGCTTTATCCTTGAATTCTCATATGTGTGAACAAGTGTTCAATTACAACAGTATTTACTTAGATATCTACCAATTGAAATGTTCATTTAAAATTATATTACACATACATGCAGGCATGCTTCACATTATTGATAATGCCCAAAAGTTAGATTATGTGTAGATAAAATTGATTAAAACGGCCAAGAAGTATTTGTTAATATGATATTGACAGAATTATTATTTTCTCTTTGATTATACTAAAGTAAATGGACCTCATTGTTTTAACCTTTAACCTCATTACTCAAATAAGTATTTTCTACTATTTGTTTTGTATTAAGTCTGTTAGTCTGTGTTCTACTCTTATAAGAACAGGCATGCAGTAGTGAATTATAGCAACCTGTGAGTCTCTGTCGCAGTGTCTCGTCAAGCTCTCTGTCTGCTCGTTGTGCCTCAGGACTGGGTTTCGGAGCAGCAGGGAACACCACTAGTACAATGCTCATGTTGTCCTTACTACCCTGTATAACAATAATAGTTTAATATTAAAAAAAAAATATATCATGAATTAAATCAAAACTTGACTGAAATAACAGCTGACTGGATTATATGATTATACAAAATAGTGAGCCATTTTTAAATTTAAATGAGTTGGTTATTAAATAACATGGTGTATGTGATTCTTCACCAATGTTCTTAAAATATTATAATATCTAAATCACTTTACCTTCAGTAAAAATACTTCTTTTACAGGCATACTCAGATACTTCTAATTAGTAAATAAGATCAAGTCACATGTTGTCTCATTCTATCGTTATTGCAAAAAAAGGGACAGCATCAACTGTAGTAAAACTTAAAATTTTATTGACTTCTGTGAGTGCAGCTATTAGACATGCAAGTTTGTTTTTGTAATTACTGCAGATTGAATAATTGTTACCTTGTATAAGCAGGTGTCAATGACCTGATTGGTTATTGCTGTTAGATCATCTGTGAGTAGCAAGAGTGAGTGCACATAGGCACACAATGCTTCATTGCTCATTACGTCCCACACTCCATCACAAGCCAACACCAGAAACTCATCCTCTGCCTCGGATCTTTCATGTACTGATACTTCTGGCTCAGGAGACACTAGTTGCTCACAGGGACGACGACTGATCGATTTCTTGTATTGATAATCACCTAGAGCTCGCGAAACAGCTAAACTACCATTGACACGTTGGATCATCACAGATCCTCCAGCTTGTACTATACGAGACTTCTCAGATGGTAATTCTGGTTTATGGTCTTGAGTTGCAAAGATCGGGGCACCATTACGTGCTAGTACCGCACGCGAGTCACCACAATTAGCTATGTATATCTGCTTTGGTGATACAAAAGCACAAACCGCCGTTGACCCAGACTTCTCCTTGCCGGTACAGAGCTCCGGTAGCTCACGCATCTTTTCGTCTAAGTCCAGAAAACCTGCGCGGATGGCCTCAGCGATGTCTTCACGACGGAATTCGTCCGTTTGTAAAATACACTCAAGGAGGTTCTCCGCGCAATGTGCTGAAACTCGCGCCCCCGCGTGCCCATCGAACACGGCGAAATACGACCAGTCCGATAGAGTACCATTCAAAGTTAACTGCGCGTGATGCGCATCTTCCATTTCCACTCGCCAGCCCTGCATTGACGCCACGCCATAGCGAAGACCATTCCCTTCCCCACTCTCGTTAAACTTCTTAGTTTCGGGCTTATTCAAAAACGCCCCCATGCTGAGTCCTATGAATTTGTTCCGTTAATCACACATACTTTCTGCACCATCAGGCACACAAACGAACGTCGCATCCGATAACGTAAAAGGGAAGCAAAAGCATCATTGGAAGTCCGATACGATCTCACGGATAGATCACGTCACTCAGTCAGATGTTACAATTAAGGTGATGGTAAAGTTACCCCAACACCAAGTCTGTTGTTTCAGCTGTTAATTACTTGGTTGATAAATTACGCGATTACGTTGCATAAACCTTGACGACAAATCGTGTGTTTTTGGAATTTGTAAAACGAAAAACCAACTCAAAAGAATGAATGGCGGACATAAATAGTAATTGTCTATGATATAACTTTTTTTTGAGTCTATGAAAAATACAGATTAGGTAACAAAGATGTAAAAGTCTATAGTCGACTGGAATAGTCAGTATTATAACATACTGCACGGCTATTTATTCCCGTGCAAATGTGCCATTAGGCCATTTATTATAAGAAATGTTCAGAAGTAAAAATAAATGTATTTTATTGTCTCAAGTAAAAACAGACTAAGTTTCAAGTTATTGAACTGAGAAATCTGACTCGGCTCGAAAAGAAAAATCGAAAAGTCTGCGGACTCAACATTTTTATTCTACTAACTAGTAGCGGCCGCCCGTGACTTAGTCCGCGATATATTTAGTTTTTTGGGAACTCCTCAGGAACCTATAATTTTTTCGGAATAAAAAGTATCCTATGTCATAAACTAAATACTTAACCCAATTTCATCCATTTCCGTTTGGTAGCTAATATACAAACTGTCACATTTATAATATTATAAGTACAGACTAGTAGGATGTTACATGCTCCAGTAAATCATCGGAACTCTCTCAATATCCAATCATTCTTCAAATTTGCAAATGGGTGGCATTCTTCCATCGTCCTATCCCTAAAGCCAGAAATATAGAGCGTGCTGGCCAACGAGCACGCGCATGGACAACACACAGGGCTTTATCCGTCCTTTGCTGTTTTAGTTACATGAGGGTTACGTACGGTTTATATTGAGCGTGTTTTTGTTTTTTTTTTATTTTTGTAATAGTTATGCGCCTATAGTAAAAACAAATAGGCTAGTTGACCCTTTTTGGAAAAAGGTTTTAAATGGTTAATAAATGTTCTATTAGACCGAAAAAAAATGTATTGTATTTTTTTTAAACCTAGAAAGCTACAAATCTTTAATTTTAAAATAGACTTTTCATGGACATACAAAAACGCTGTCGGCCATTTTAGTCTATAGATTATCTATGCTATGACGTGAACTGTGGTAAACAAAAACTCGTAAACACGTAGAAAATTACTTTTAACTGAGTTTGTAATAAAAAAAAAACATGATTTCTAATAAATACCACGAAAACTAAAGTAATTATCATTACTGTATTGTACGAGAATATAAAAACACATCCTTGAAGACTCCAGGAAAGCTGTTGATTAAAGTGCCGAAAGAAATTAACCTACGCAACTTTATTACATTTATTCATATGTTGTATCAGTTTTATGTTTATTACTACATTGTAATACTAAATGCACTGTACTTACATAGATGCCCTGTCGTTTCTCTGCTCCGCAGAGCAGAAATCGGGGTTTAGTGCAACAAATTCACCAACCATCAATGCGTCAATTCTTGGCAGATTTGTGCTTTCTGGTTTCACAAAGCCGGCATCCATAATTAGTTTTGTCAATGTTTTTTTCTTTCCTAAAGTTAAAAGTGTTTTAAGATAAAAGTCAGACGAAAGAATCCACCTACAGTAACACGCGAATGACATTTAGTTGTTTACCACAAGAGACGTCAAAATCATGGCGGATGTGGCGAACAGCGTTTTTAGTGTTTAAAAAATATAGACTAAAAATATTTTTTAAAATTAAATTTCTACAGCAATTATCTGCTTTTATGAAGTGAAATCGATATATTAAGGTTCCTTAGACTAAATACTTTAAGAAATAAACATTTATTTAATATAATTCGACATGAGTAAACTAGCCTATTCGTGAAAGAAAAATATGTCCATCCTATCAAACAGAAGTTGTTCTATATCTCTCCTCACTCTTTCCGTTTAATTGATATAGTCAGTCATCACATCTGTAGTATATCCATGATATGTCATTTGCCCACTGCGGCCTATGTTATGAGACTGTGCCTCACGCACGTCACTGTCATGTCATGCGGAGTTTTTGGCGGAATTTCATTGAGTGCGGTTGGCGTCTTATTTTAATTATTCTTAAATTCGTTCATAGTGGATATTGTGAAATTAATTTGGTGTGATTTTGTGTCACAATCGTCTGCGCAAATGAAGAATTAGTGGAATATTTAAAATATAAGCTGTTCCGGTCAAGTGGACGTGAGAACTTTATTGTAGTGTTGACCAGTGTTCGCAACTTGAAGCAAGGCAACTATCGTACCAGTAGCGTAGAATTATCGTACATTCAGCAGAATTATCGTATTTTAGAAAAAAATCCACGCGGACCAGGCGGGACTCGAACCCGCACCCTTCGCAATCCGGGCGAATGCACTGACCAATTATGCTACCGCGGCCCTCACGGACCGCGTCAAAATTCTTTCCAGCTATTCTTAAGCTGCAAGGCAGCGCCATCTCTTCGCATTATAGGTAAACCCACAATGTCAAATGAATACTTTTACAAGTATTAAACATTTGAAAGAAGAAATAGCAATTATAGTTATAATTTTTATTATTTTTAAAGCATGTAACTGCTTGATGTTTAAATCTAAAGAAAATATAACTAGAAAAAATTCCACGCGGACCAGGCAGCAGACGGGACTCGAACCCGCACCCTTCGCAATCCGGGCGAATGCACTGACCAATTATGCTACCGCGGCCCTCGCGGACCGCGTCGAAATTCTTTCCAGCTATTCTTAAGCTGCAAGGCAGCGCCATCTCTTCGCATTATAGGTAAACCCACAATGGCAAATGAATACTTTTACAAGTATTAAACATTTGAAAGAAGAAATAGCAATTATAGTTATAATTTTTATTATTTTTAAAGCATGTAACTGCTTGATGTTTAAATCTAAAGAAAATATAACTAGAAAAAATTCCACGCGGACCAGGCAGCAGACGGGACTCGAACCCATAATATCGAGCATAATTGGTCAGTGCATTCGCCCGGATTGCGAAGGGTGCGGGTTCGAGTCCCGTCTGCTGCCTGGTCCGCGTGGAATTTTTTCTAGTTATATTTTCTTTAGATTTAAACATCAAGCAGTTACATGCTTTAAAAATAATAAAAATTATAATTATCGTATTTTTTTAAATAATCACTATAATTAATAAATAACTTCTATTAAACATGATATCAATCAATAATTTTACGTATGCTTCACAATGCAAACTATTTACAATCTTTTTCAACTATATTTTTTACGTAATAAAAATTGCCAACGGTCGGCCGTTTGCCGCTTAAAAGGATATGAGACAGGCCTGGACTACTCGCCCCTTAACTTGAAAATCCATATAGCCGCCAACATTTTAAACTCAACTGAAAAAATTACAATCTCTTACTGCAGATCTTAATCCAGCTGACTAATATTTCGAATTTATAACAAAAAAAAAATTAAGGGATAGTAGGTCAGTGATGAATATAATCCGACATTTTTACATATCCTAATATATCCTATATTCTCGAAACCAACTTTATAACAGAACAACTGCCAACAATTAAACAAAAAATATTGAAGACTGAGAAGCCTAATCGAAATCGAACGACATATCGATATCATTTGCTCATTAAACCAACCTATAGATAGCGGTTCAAGCAAAAAGAAAAAAAAATACTCGTAAATAAAAAAAAACTTTGTGGTATTGTTTAAGAGAGTACGTAGCAATGCATCGTAATGAAAATTATCGTAAAATGTGTGTACGATAATAATATGATATCGTACATCGTACGTAGGCATGAAATTATCGTATGTGTACGATAATTATCGTACGGTTCCGAACACTGGTGTTGACTACCTCACAGAAGCTTGTCGGAACAGCCAACTCGATACATTTCGTGCCAAACACTCCAAGTAACATTAGAATGAGTCCAACCAACATTCTAATGTAAAAAAAAGAAGATTATGTTCCCTTTGCCTTCCCTGAAAAGGGAGAATCTTTAATAAAAAAAAATCATATCATGTCACTGTCAATTTTCACAGTTTCAATTTTATTCAGAGTTTTTGGCGGGATTTCATCGAGTGTGGTTGGCGTCTTATTTTAATTATTCTTAAATTCGTTCATAGTGGATATTGTGAAACAAAATTGGTGTAATTTTGTGTTACAACTGTCTGCGTAACTGAAGAATTAGTAGAATCGTCAAAATATACGCTATTCCGGCCAAGTGGACGTGAGAATTTTATTGTAGTATTTACTACCTCACAGAAGCTTATCGAAAAAGCCAGCTCGATACATTTCGTGCCAAACACTCCAAGAAACATTAGAATGCGTCACACCGACATTCTAATGTAAAAAGAAAAATAGAATAATTTAACTTAAGACTAGGCTGTATGGGCACTGTTCCCCTTGCCTTCCCTGAAAAGGGAGAACAACCAAAAAAGTAAAACAATTTTATTCAATCGTATTTGTTTTTTTTTTGGCGGGATTTCATCGAGTGTGGTTGGCGTCTTATTTTAATTATTCTTAAATTCGTTCATAGTGGATATTGTGAAATAAAATTGGTGTGATTTTGTGTTACAACTGTCTGCGTAACTGAAGAATTAGTAGAATCGTCAAAATATACGCTTTTCCGGTCAAGTGGCCGTGAGAATTCTATTGTAGTATTGACTACCTCACAGAAGCTTATCGAAAAAGCCAGCTCGATACATTTCGTGCCAAACACTTCAAGAAACATTAGAATGCGTCACACCGACATTGTAATGTAAAAAGAAAAACAATAATTTAAGACTAGGCTGTATGGGCACTGTTCCCCTTGTCTTCCCTGAAAAGGGAGAACTTAGCAAAAAAAAACAATTATATTTTTAGCGATTTGCCGAAAACATGCCGAAAAACTGTTCAAATAAAAGGATATTGATGCGTTAATAATATACGAATAAATAAACAATAATAATAAAAAACTTGATAAATAACAAACAAAATATCCCTGAAACAATATAATGTATTTGCCATAACCTCAAAGTTTATTGTAAACTTTATCGAATAGTGGTTTTTTTTGTTGATAAAATGTATAAAAATATAGTTACTCGTTGGTAAGTTATAACTTTTGTTTCTTTATGTTCCAGTCTGTCGTATTATTGCTAAACAATAAATAACTGCACATTTCAGGCTACCTCTGAGGTTAATCAGTAGGGAGAATTACTCCCAATTTTTTGAATTAAAAACTAAATCATCGGTTGAACGCCAAATCAAGAGAAATTTTTCCTACTCCATTGTATGTTGTAAGAAAAGGAGAAGTGCGGAAGAAAAGGTAATATCAATAGAAGTTATATTATAACTTTGTTGGCTAAACGGAAAATGATTTTTTTTACCCATCAGGTATTGGAAAGTACAGGCAAACGTCCAGCAATCAGATACCCACCTAAGGCTGGCTCTGAGGTGGTTGGAATATGGAGGAATATGACTGTCAAAGATATAGCTAGTGTAGTAAATAAAGATGTAGGTAAGTCATCATAGTCATTATGTATGAAGTCTAGTGTTACAATAACACAATTGGATGATTTTATCGGTTGGGCTTGTTAATTTCATAAAATTATTTAATCAGCTGCCTAATTTCCTAACAATGGTCTCAATTCTGACATGATTTTCTAAACCTTAACTTAAATTTGACAACAGTGTGTCCTTGTCATTCTCTTTGCATAATTAAAAGGAGCGACTGATATTAAATTTAGTTTTAAGTTTAGAGAATCATACCAGGGGGCCAATCGCCTAACTGGATTGCTTTGGAAAACGCTATCGCTTAAGATTTCATTCTGTTATTTCTAACCGCCGAAATACCTCACGCTCATTTTCTTTAACATTGTTATTACCAATGCAAAAGAAAAAAAAGAGCGCGAGGCATTTGAAAACCTCAGGGGGCTAGAAATAACAAAATGAAATCGTAAGCGATAGCGTTTTCCAAAGCAATCCAGTTAGGCGATTGGCCCCCAGAATCAATACCATTGACTCCCTCCTTAAGCAATCCCATTGACAAAATAATTTTATTTTTAAACTTTTTATTTGGCTCACAAAACTGGTTACAAAAACTATCCATGTAAATATATACATACAAAAAAAACATCAACTACTTTGCAACATAGTAGATGCAAGCACAACATGCTTTCTAAGACAACCTAACTTCTAAGGATTTTATTAAAATTTCCTTTTGTGTAGTGGCTAGCAATGTGAAATTGTCAGAATTGTGGGAAAGTCTCCATTTAGCCTTTAAAAATAAAAAAAAGAAGAAGACTAAATAATTAACTTATCATTGTCATGTTGACACTTAAAAGAAATATGCAGAAGTATTGAAATTGTACAGTCAGCACCTAGTTTACTTAAAATACAAAAAAAATGTATTATTAGATATTATGATGACATACATACATTCGCTTAAAGCTTCATATTATCCCTTATAATATATAACCCATTCAGTTGAAAGGTTGCTTGCTAACTAGCAACTTATTTGATCTATTTATGGATATGGAAAACTTATGGATTCTATATTAAAGTCTGATGAAATTTTAGGGCATATTCTTCAAGCACTAGAATTTGCAGATAAGTCTTCAGAAATTAATTATAATAAAGACACTGTGATACATAATCCGCAAATCATAAGAGATGTTCTTAAAATATGTGGACACAGGTACAAGATTGTTCCAAACCCTGATAAAGAGGTAGAAGTAGACGAGGTGAGTCAAATTTTTTGTTGAATATGTAAAAATTATATTTAATGCATACAAAATAAATATTTGTCACAATCACACCAAAAATCCTATTAAGAGCCCTTTCACATTTTTTGCAAAAAAACCTAATTTTTGAGCGCCTTGTTTACATCCTTAGAAAATATTTTGACTATTTCCAATAGAAGTAAACAGTAGATATATTCTTCCTATTGTAAGTTAATGTAGAATATTTGCAAACACTATTTTCCTATTTTTTGTACTGATCGTTCTACTGCAGCTAGTTTACGGAAAAAACGATAATATGCACAACTTCAAACACCTCAATCTCTCAATAATGTTCAATAAATTAGGTCTAATTATTACTGCGACATCAGAAATATTTTTTTGTAACAATGTATTAGAATTTGGATTCTCATCTCATTAATTATCAAAAAAAACATCTAACCACCGTTTCCTCCTCAGGTTTTCCCAAAAAATAATGCAGGTTTACCTCATATTTTGATATTGAATTAAATAGAATTACTATCAAAAGCTTTCATAAAACTAATCTACCATCATTGAACTACTGAAATATGTATAGACTTTTATAATTAGTTCATTAATAATTATTTTATTAGATTCGAAACATCACCTGTAAAATGCAAGATATACTAGTGCAAATCTACCTATGCGACGATCAGTACGGCAGGGGCGCAATTTTGTAAAAGGGCTCTTAACCCTTCACTATCTCAACTATAAAACAAATGAACTTAGATAAAAATTCATTTCATCACATTGAAACCTTCTATTTTGTCTGTTATAAGAACAAAGATGCTGTTCCATCACCGCCATCACCTCCGGAAGCTCTAAAGCCACGACCTCCTGTAGTATGTGTCATGGGTCATGTTGACCATGGTAAAACTACCCTGTTAGATGCACTCAGAGATACTTCAGTGGTAGATCAAGAGTTTGGTGGCATCACGCAACATATAGGAGCTTTTGAAGGTATACTTAAAGAAACTTAGAAATATTTAACATAACATAACTCAATTTTTATTTAACGATATTAAATACCCTAGATACCTACAACAAAATCATGACTAAATCGAGTCCAAAAGAAAAAAAGTACATTGTGCAATCCACAGAGCTCCATAAGATGATCGCGTCGTCAAAAACCATATGAGACATTATTTAAACATTGAATGCATAAAAACGCATGCGTTAAAGACTTCTTACAGTTCGAAATGCAAGCTTGTAAAATTTAATTAGATACCTGTCGAAAAAACGTCATTTTTCGTACCTTAAGTATTTGTTTCGTCCGCGTCCGCGCGTGGCTGTGAACCAAGATGTGCTTGAGTGGAGTTCAAGCACTTCTTGATTGGGACACATTTTGAGCGCTTGGTAATGTAGTTAATAATATATTTAATATTGTTGCATAATGATCTAAAATATAATGATGATTATTGAATGAATGAATGATGTAAAATTATAAATGTAATGACCTTATTAAATAAAAGTACAAAATCACTGAATTCATTCTACTTGTAAATATGTATTTTATGAACTTAGTCATGTGACTGCACCATTTATGACATCACCCCACCCTGTCTCAACACTTATTTAGTTTTGAGATTAGAATCAGAATCTCATAAATAAGTATCAGAACTTCATAGTTATAGTTGAAAAAAACCTTTTGATTACCTGACCTTTACACTATGTTTTGCGACTTTTTCATCATCATCAAAAACTTGATAAGATATATAAATGTTTATTCTAGTATCAAAATATTTCTTTCTACTATACAATGACCCTTACACTACCTTTTGTGTCTTTTTCATCATCGTCAAAAATTTGATAAGATATATACCTAGTCAGGTCATAAATTCTGTCATATGTTTAATTTAATATAAATGTACCTCTGTTAAGCCCCAATAAGAAACTTCCAACCATACGATGAGCGAGGATGGAAAATGACCTCGTTGGACACGCGGAATACGGTTGCTCGCTTCTTCACTACTGTGTGCGTACACCTTATCATTATTTCATCCGAAAAAAAAAATTCCCGATATTTTTTTCCCACGTACTGCTTCAACTAAGCGCGGCATCTCTTCAGTCTCAGGTCCATTAGACGAGCATTCAAATGATGTCCTGTTTTTCTTCGATATGCCCGAAGTCCTAAGTCTTCATTTAACACCCTTTTCACCGTGTTTCTGCTTAACCCCACCTGAGGGGCCAACAGTTTCTGCTTACGTTTGGGATTTCTTGGAATTTGCGCCTTCACAGTTTTTATCACTGCTGAAGTCCTAACAGACCGAGGGCGACCACTTCTTGTCCTGTCATCTACACTAGAGTCTTCATTGTATCGTTTGATGGTACGATAAACGAATCTTTTGGGTATATTCAAATTTTTCAGTATGTCAAAAATTAGAATTGGCGCGTAACCGCAACGATGCAACGCAATAACTGCAACACGGTCTACGGTTTAAGCGTCCACTCCATATTTAAAAATGAGTGAAATACTAAAAAGTATACATTTTTATTTTCATGAACAATTCGAAATTCGAATTCAATAAACTTTTTTGTGGCCAGCATTCTAATAGAAAAGTTTTTACTGTGTAGCAATACTTATGACCTGACTGTGTAAATGTTTGTTCTAGTATCAAAATATTTCTTTCTACTATGCAATGACCCTTACATTATGTTTTGTGTCTTTTTCTTCATCAAGATAGATAAATGTTTGTTCTAGTTAAATTACCGTCTGGTGACAAAGTGACTTTCCTGGATACGCCTGGTCACGCTGCATTCACATCGATGCGATCGCGAGGGGCACGTGCCACCGATGTAGTGGTATTAGTTGTGGCAGCCGATGACGGGGTTATGGAACAGACTGTGGAGTCCATTCGAATGGCGAAGGAGGCTAATGGTAATGTTAGATTTTTAAAATGGACTAATTTTAAGCGTGGCAATAAACATACTATATTAATCAGGTTCAGTAAGACTTCAAAAAAAGTATCGCTGCAAATAACTTCAATAGTAAATTAAAATCATATTTTTTGAGCAACTTGTAGATACATAATTATGTAAAAACGAACCGGTCCAGGTGTTTGCGGCACGATCCCTTCCCCTCACGTCGCTTTGCTATTCACCTCTCGCTCAACAGTTGTAATGATACTTGTAAAAATAATTGAAGGTAACTAACTAACCACCTTATTATTATGTTAATATGATATTGAATCGTATTTGTACTAAGCATACCGGACAAATCATTGCGATTTATGGCGTGCCTTTTAGCTCTGTAATTGTTTTTAATATGAAGTAAATAAAAAAAAAGAAAAGAATGAAACCATAGGCCCAAGCACGAACTTTGCGGCCAAGCCCGGCATCATTCTCTAAACCTAAAAATAATTTTGACAACAGTGTATCCTTGTCATTCTCTGTACAAATTATAAAATGAGATTGATAGTCATGTAAAATATAGTTTTCAAGTTTAGAGACTCAACACATGTCAAATTTTACTTAGAAGTAGCCAGTTTGTTTATACGTCAGTTAGGGGTGCTGCTTAGTTTTCATAAAAACTTTGACGGTGCGATAGGATTACGTAGCTGCCAAAGTTTGAGCTTGGGCCTCAGAAGGTGCACAATCAGTATAAGGGTACAAGTCCGAACTGAACCGCAGACCACAGCCCGCAGCTGCAGACTGCAGGCGACACTACTAATTTCTATGAAGCTCTATGAAATTGATTCCGAGCGCGGCGACATGCCGCGGCTGCACAGTGCATATAATGCACGGTCAGCTGCAAGCGCTAGCCGCAGTGTCGCCGGCAACCCATTGCCAATTATACCTTAAAAGTCATCGAAACACACGTACGGTTAAGAATGAATGATAAGAATCGTATTAAGCAAGTAGAAATAAGTATAAGAAAGAAATTGGCATGTGTGTCGCAGTGGGGCCTTTTTAAAAATTTTACTAACTATAATATATATAAGTTGTTTTGTGTGTGAACTGGAAAAAACACAATTCTCGTACATAAAAAAGAATTACCTATTTAGTTAGAATATTATTATTTTTGCAGTTCCAATATTGGTGGCGATCAACAAAATCGACAAGCCAGGTGTGAACATTGTAGGTATGCCTCAATAATATTTTTATTGTATACATATTTATGAAAAACAGTATCTAAATAGATACAGTAAATAAAAACGCTAAAAATAATAGCCTCTAACAAATACTAAAAAATATTCGTATCCAAACATTAAAGTGCTAGATTTTTGCTTTTTGTTTTAATTTATACCTACCATTCTATCTATAGCATTTGGCCATAGCTTTTACGTCGTCTGTATTTGGACATAAGCCTTCTCCATATCTTCCCATTTATGTCTCCCTGGCGACATATTTGGGCAGTCATTTTTAATGCCTCTTTTTAGTAAAACTTATCTTTGGATATAGCAATGACAGTGGAGCAGGCCTTTACAGTTATTTTGTGCCACAACTCTCAATATTAGTTTTTTTTTTTTTCAAATAGGAAAGAACAATGCGATCTCTGGCTCAACACGGCGTCATATGCGAGGCTTTAGGAGGTGATGTGCAGGCTATACCAGTTTCAGCACTTAAGAAGAAAAACTTGGAAACTTTAGTTGAAGCGCTCACATTACAAGCTCAGCTCATGGAATTGAAAGCTGATCCGGGTGGCTACGTAGAGGGTGTGGTGATTGAGGCCTTATTAGATCCTCGGAGCGGGTGAGTCAAGTGTATATTTGATAATCTATACATCTATACTCTATACATACATATAAATAAAATTGGAGTGTCTGTTTGTAATATTGAAATAACCGCTTTTTACTGCATGCATATGAATATATATGCGGTATATACACCAAAATATTTTTTTTTACAATTTTTGTCTGTCTGTCTGTTTGTTCCGGCTAATCTCTGCAATGGCTGGACCGATTTTGACGGAACTTTTATTGGCAGGTAGCTGATGTAATAAGGAGTAACTTAGGCTACTTTTATTTTAGAAAAAAAAACCTAAAAGTTAGCGCGGACGAAGTGGCGGGCGGCCGATAGTCTTAACTAATATTATAAATTATCGAGAAGCTAGCAAAAGTAAATTTGCTTGTTACTCTATCACGCATAAACGGCTGAACGGATTTGGATGAAATTTGGCACAACGGTTGCAGCGATTTTAATAAAATTTGGTATGGAGTTAGCTGACACCCTGGTTTAACACATAGGCTACGTTTTACTGCGGGAAAATATCGCTAATAAACCGCGGGTAACACCGCGGGGCATGCTAGATTTTACATATGTGAGCTTGATTTTTGATAGCCTCTCTTATATTTGCATGTTCGCATTCAAGAGAATATTCTGGAAATTAATGGATTAAATAACACTTTTTGGGACTATATTTTAGCAAATAAATTATTATTCCCTATTTCGTCCCTAAAGAAGGCCCATTAAAGTCCCCACTGTTCTGTGCCTTTGTAGTGATTTCACAGGCTGATGATGACTGTACCCCTAATTATTTTTCCAAACATCAATGTGAAATTTAAATGTTAACAAGCAGTCTAGCTTAAATGTTAGTCGTCATTATTATGTATTTATTTAGTATGTATGTATAAGTGTGAATTTATATGTATAGTTATTTATATGTAAGTACTTATTTATGTATGTGTAATTATATATATATGACTACTTCGTATTTATATCTGTTCATCTTTCTGTAATTTCCATCTAAGTTGTGCACCCTACCACTATTTATCCACAACACCCTATGGTTGACTGGTAGAGAATGCCTATGGCATTAAGTCCGCCTTTGTACACTTGTGCATTAAGTATAAAATAAATTTATAATTAGTTGGAATATCAATATTTACTTTATATACAGGAAGCAAGCTACCGTTTTAGTGCAAAGAGGGACACTACGTCGCGGGTGCGTTATTGTAGCTGGGACCGGCTGGGCAAAGGTAAGTTTTTTGAGTTGCGCTGCTGTTGAACAAATGGTGAAATGAGGATTACTAAGTACTTAAAATCTCCTCACTAAAGGGATTTTTTCATTTATAATAACTCGGAAAGAGTAAAAGAAAACATAAAAGGCTTTAAATCTAAAGAAAAGTTTACTAGAAAAAAATCCACGCGGTCCAGGCAGCAGACGGGACTCGAACCCGCACTCTTCGCTATCCGGGCGAATGCACTGATCATTATGCTACCGCCACCCTGACGGCCGTATCGAATTTTCTCTAGCCTTAGGCTGCAAGGGCTGCTAAATAAAAGGCTTATTAACAACTTCCTCTATACACAAAAGGCTTATTTATAACTTCATAATTACGATTTCTTATTATCCGATTTCGGCCACGCGCCTCAGTAACTTGGTCGCACTATAGAATGTTAAGGAGAAGCTGTGGTCAAATAAGTGTTAAGTTTAGAGAATCATGCTAGAATCAGGTCCAGTATTATAGAAGAAAGCATAATTTTTCCTCGATATATAGGTGCGTGTACTAACAACAGCAGAAGGACAGTCGGTACAAGAGGCTCCCCCCTCTACACCGGTTTCTGTTCTGGGATGGCGTGAACTTCCCGCCGCTGGGGATCAAGTTCTGGAAGTCAACTCTGAGGTGAGTATAGGTTAATTTTCAAATCATTATTATTATTAAATTATTTTTTAATCTAAATAAGTGCAATTTATGAATGTATTCAGTAATTAAATAAGTTACAACAAGGTTTATAAGTTATGAGAAATGAGGAGTCAAATGACACGAGATCTATACGTCACTACTGAAAATGACGTCCTTTTTCGACGCAGTGTGGGGAAGCTAGCAAGCCATGCCCAACCCACATGCACTAAATATGTGTCCCAATTAAGAAGTGCTTGAGTTACTCAAGCACATCTTGGTTCACAGTCACGCACTGACCGTTGAAAAGTCAAGAGCTCCGTGACAAAATGCGAAAAACAAACTTATAGTACGTAAAGTGTAATTTTTTCGACAGGTATCTAATCAATATTTGTAATTTAATGCATTTAAAGCAAATTATGTTGGAATAGTTACTATAAACTGATTTAATAGTAAATATTTGTGATATTATAATGCATGGTCGGTTACATAGCCGTTTCTTTTCCTCGCGGTGCGTACCTGCTATATTGCTAACAGCGCATTCAGAATTGCGCGTAGAGTCAAAGAAATAAGGTCTATATTCTGCCGCATATAGCAATAAGTCATAAAATTTTACGAGCTTGCATTTCAAACTGTCATAACTCTTTGTCGCATGCGTTTTAATTAAGACCTTATACATTTATGCATTAAAGGTGACTTTCAAAGTTTTAAAAATGCCTTATATTGCTTTTGACAACGCGAACATCTTACGGAGCTCGGTGAATCGTTCAATGTACCTTTTGGACAGGTTTCGCCCGCGATTTTGTTCGTGTTTTTGTATCTAATATATTTTTTTTATCGTTGGTGTACAGATAGTAACTATTAGGCATAGGTAGTATATACGCGGCATACTTACTTAACATTTTCAATGACGTTATAGAAAAGAGCAAACGAGGTAATGAAATGGCGGCATAATCAAAGAATGAAGGAACGGCAAGCGGCTGACCTGCAGATCATAGAGGCAAAGGAAGCCGCGCATAAGGCCGAATATCATGCGGCGCGTGCAAAGAAACGTGCGATGGGCCGGTACAAACTGCGCCCCGAAGGACCGAGGCAGAAGATGATACAAGAGGACACGCATCCAACGCTCAGCGTTATAGTCAAAGGTAGAGGCAACGAATTAGAAATAATATGGGATCCGAACTGCGCTAAAAAGTGGTTTCACGCAAACTGAGATTCAACACGCCGATCATGGGATTGGTTGGGATTCCCGTTTAATATAATTTTACCCAATAAATGGAATAATTTAGAAATTTATTTGCAGATATTTGATTTATCAAAGCATTTTGTTTTGTCTGTGTGCCTGTCCAGTATTGAAGTTTACCTGTATGAGTTTGGAAACATGTTTTAGCGGCCTTTTGTTGAGAGTTATGATTCTAATATAATTTGTAATTCGTTGCCCATCGGCCGGTACAAACTGCGCCTCGACGGATCGACTCAGAATATGATACATGAGGATACGCTCCCGACGCTCAGCCTTATAGTCAAAGGTAAAGGAAAAAGTATTGGAAGAGGTGGAACTCGAACACGCACCCTCCGCTATCCGAGCGGATGCATGGACTAATTATGCTACTGCGTCCTTAATGGCCGGCTTGAATTTCTTCTAGTATTTCTTAGGCTGCTAAAAAGCTACAATTGTTATTTCTTCTTTAAAATATGTTATTACTTGTAAAGGTATATAGTTATGGGTTACCTACAATGCGAAGAAACGGCGCGGCGCTTCCCTTGCGGCAGCAACAATAAAGTCTTTTTGTAGATATGTGGTTGCCTCTTCAGTGCTGCCACCCAGCGCCCATCTTTAAGAAAAGCAGAAAATCCGTCATTTAAATAATTGTTCTTATAAAAAAATGATAAAAGAACTTTATGTTATGTTTTAGGGGTATCTCAAACTATATGTTCTATGTTGTACAGGTGATGTGGATGGGTCTGTGGAAGCTATATTGGATATATTGGAGACGTACGATGACCATGATAGAGTACGCCTCGATTTAGTTCACTTTGGAGTAGGCCCCGTCACTCCTAACGACATAGAGGTATTTATTACTTGTTTTTAGATAAATAATAAATAATTTAACTCGTTAACATATACAGGGTTAATTTTAAAACACCAACAACGTCTTAGGGGTTGATTCTACCCATCAACAGGAACAACTTCTATTATAGGACCAACTCTGAAATCGCGAAAAAAACTATGATAGAATAGAAGAGGAATGTGTTCCCTAGGCTCTCTTTTGGCTTTTTTTTATGGTCTAAGATCCGAACCTACATCGACCTTCACCGAGCTGATAATGGAATGAAAAATATTTTATCATGAATTTAGTATATTAGAAAATATACTAAAAATGGGTTGCCTAAAAAGTCCTGGACAGATCATTTTTAATTAATTTAAAAAAAAAACTATATTTTTAATTAAATGCTGCAACATCAAGATAATAAGAAAATGATGTCCTAAAATCAGCATAAAACATATAAAATGTGCAGCCGTTGGGATGTCTAATATTTACCAGGGCGAACCAGTGGGTTGCCAGGTATAAACAGGTATGTCGATACCAGTTACTTTACCCAACGGCTGTACATTCTATACGTTTTATAATTTAAGGCAGGACAACATTTTCTTATTATCTTGATGTTGCCACATATTTTCTTAAATCATTTTTTAAAAAATAATTAAAAATAGTCTGTCCAGGATATTTTTTGGCAACTAGATTTTAATATATTTTGCAATATACTAAAGTCATAATAAAATATGTTTCATTTTATTATCAGCTCGGTGATGGTCGATGTAGGTTCGGATCTCCTACTATTAGTAAAATTTTCTCGAGTCGAAAATTTCCTGCTGTCGTGGGAGAAATAATATTTCATACCTGAGGCACACTCCTTCCATTTGGCAATTAAAGGGTACCATTTCATAGCTCTTGCCATCCATATGGTCATCAATTTCAGCATACTACCATATGGATAACAAGAGCTGTGAAATGATACCTATAATTGCCAAATGAAAGGATCGTGCCTAAAATACGTTACAATTCGGAAAGAGTAATAGAAATACATGTGAGGCTTATTTATACCTTCTTAAAATTAGTTCCTGTTTCGGCCATGGGCCCAAGATCTTGCTTGGTCTCACTGTATGAACAACACTACAGGTAATCAACTTTAAAAAAGCAAAACCGCTGATTTTACTTTTTTTTATTTATTGTTGCTTGAAAGCAAAGGATGCTAGGCCGTACATCCTTTCAAGTAATAAAAAATTGACATGTATTTTTTTTGTGTCACTAAACAGGTCCTGCCAAAATAACAGTGCTGTTGCGACACAATGTCGCATCAGCTAATGCTGAGGCAGAGTCCTGGTTAATCCTGAGATTTTTGAATTTGTATCTGTATATGTGTAATTGAGGGTTAATAAAATATATTTTATTCTATTCTAAAACCTCTATATATTATGAAGTGATTTAAATAACTCAACAGATTGCAGAAGCATTCAAAGCTGTGATATACGCGTTCAACGTGGACAGCCCCCCGCAGGTTAATGTGGAGGCGAAGAGGAAAAATATACCCATAAAGAAGTACAATATCATTTACAAACTAGTGGACGATGTAAAAGACGAAATCAGTGTAAGAATACCAAAGAGACAAGAAGAGGAAATTATAGGTAAAGTATTTGTATGATATGCTGAAAACTATGAATATTACTTTCTTTATAATACGAAAAATATAAGTCTCATATTTTGATTTTGACGACCGTTTGGTGTAATAAAGGTCCTGGAATCTCAATTAGCAAAATTTTTTATGCAAATTTTTATTTTAGTTTGTTATAAATCTGTCTTATATGGGGATAAATTATTTGTTATATTTGTCCATTATTCCTTACTATATTATATGGAACTAAACTTTTTATTAACTAAAATATATATAGTAGGTATACGATATGTATGGTTTGCATCATATCACATTTGTTTCTTTTCCGGGTCATAATGAAAAATCCTAAAATCACAAACAATACTAACGTTCCTAAACAAACCAAAGTATAAATAAATTTGTCATATTTGTGAGCCTCATCGTCATCATAATCAGCCGATGGACGTCCTCCGCTGGACATAGGTACGTCCTCTAGGGATCTACAAACACAATGATCCTGAGCTTTCCGCATCCAGTGGGTCCCCCGACCATAGAGTAGGGGAGATATAGACTACTACAAGTGGAAGTGTCCCTCTAATAGCAAGAGAAAGAAAATGAGAGACCGCTAGCTTTCTCTCTCTAATCGCGCATGTGCATTGGCAACCGTAAGCATCTTACTATTTCTATGTGATGCCATTGGATGCCATGCGTCACAAGAGAGAGAGAGATAGCTAGCGGTCTCTCATTTCTTATTCTTTCTACTACCACTTTTAGAGCCACCTTCCCCTCTCTATTCTTATACCTCTACGCCCCCGAGTCGCTTGATTTCTCGAGGTCGCCATTAAAGCACCTAAGGACCCCAACGTCCCTCGGTTTGCCGAACAATGTGCCCCGCCCATTGCCACTTCAGCATGGCGATCCGTTTAGCTATGTCCTCATTTCTGATTCGATCACGTAGAGAAACACCGAGCATAGATAGCTCTCTCCGTCGCTCGTTGTGCGACTCCGAGTCTTATTATGAGACCTATTGTCAACGACCACGTCTCAGCTCCGTATGTCATCACTGGCAATACCCAATGTTCGAAGTCTGGTCTTCAGGCACTGAGGTATTTCGGACGAGAAGACATCGCGAATTTTCCTGAACGTTGCACAGCCCAGTTCGGCGGTTTACCTCTTTTTCGAAGTTGGACTTACCCAAGTTGACTACTTGTCGTAAATATATGTATTTGTCGACAATTTCGAGTGCAGAGTTCTCAACGATTACCGGGTGGAGTGGAACATGAACGTTAGACATGATTTTCGTCTTACTTATGTTCATTTTAAGGCCCACCTGTTGAGAGGCTCGGCTGAGGTCATTTAGTATTGTATTGAGATCCTCCAAAGTGTCTGCCATAACGACTATATCATCGGCAAAGTAATAAAGAAAGTAGTTTTCTCGCCGTTGATGCTGATGCCAAGTCCGCTTCAATCCAGAAGCTGAAGGACATCTTCCAGCGCAGCGGTAAGTAGCTTTGGGGAGATATCATCTCCATGTCGCACTCCTCGCTCTTTGGATGGGTCTCGTAGTCTGGTCTTGTATGCGGACTGTCATGGTGGCGCTTCTCATAGTCCACTAACGCTAATCATAGTGGTAATTTATGTTCCTCGGTATTCTGTATAACTTGCCGCAGCGTGTGGATGTGGTCCATAGTGCTGGAACCTTTACGGAATCCGGCTTGTTCAGGAGGCTGGAGGTCGTCTAACCTATTAGCGAGACAGTTCGTAAATGACACTGAAAAACAACTTATAGACATGGCTCAGCAGCAAGATGGGTCTGTAGCTTTTCAATGGGGTATTATCACCTTTTTTGAAGCAAAGTACCACCACGCTCCTGTGCCATGCCTTTGGCGTTATGCCTTCATGGATAATGGAATTGAACAATCGCTGAAAGATTTTACGTACTGGTTTTCCGCCTGCTTTCAGGAGTTCTGCCGTGAATCCGTCATTCCCTGGCGCCTTGTTGTTCTTTAGTTGATTGAGAGCCATACTAATGTCATATAGGCTGACGTTCGGGATATCTTCGGTATAATGTCGGGTTAATTTGGCTCTAGGATCTTCAACCAAATTAACAATAGGTTCCTGTGTTGAAGTGTATAACTGTCCATAGAATTTCTCGACTTCCCTCAAACTCTCAGGCTTCGATGTGATGAGACTACCGTTCGATCTTCAGCCGCGTTATCTGACTTTGTCGATCTCTCTGCCTGTCACAGTCGATTTGCTCGAAATCTAGTGGGCCGATCATGTTGAAATTTGGTATATGTGTGTGTACCAAACACGGACGAATAAAATAAATTCCGAACATGGGATTACATTTGGAAGCTGAATTAGTAAATAAAAAAATACATTTTAGCTAACTGTACCGTGTAATATATTAAATGAAGGGGGGGGGGGGGGGGGGCTCAATGTGAAAGTTTTAAACTTATGACATTGATGATCATACGTAAAGTTAATAACACAGGCCCCCTTTTTGCCCAGGCAAAAAGTACCCTGCGCGAAAGACCAGACTACCTGAACTTTATGTTTTCGGGGTAGCTGAGTCCAAATATGGTGCCAGAATAGCGAAGTTGGTTCGCGTTTTTTCAGAAATCCGCAATAATGCTGAAAATTTAAGTTTTTCGTATAATATGGTTCACGTTGTTAAAAAAACGCGAACCAACCTCGCTATTGTGGTACCCTATTTGGACTCAGCAACCACGAAAACAAAGTTCAGGTAGTCTGGTCTTTCGCGCAGCGTACTTTTTTTTGTGGGCCTGTGTAATAATTATAATCAATGAAAATATCGGTACACTAGGTGAAGCGAACGTGCTACAACAGTTCATGGTGACGGAGGGCAAACGCAAGGTGCCCGTTGCAGGCAGCCGCTGCATGAAGGGGTCGCTCGCCCGCAACGCCCTCTACAGAATTATACGCAACCAAGATCTTATTTACGACGGTAATCTTAAGAACTTTGATTATGCACCGTGAATTATGAGTAACACGATAAACGAACGTGCGAACAGTACCCCTAGCACGGACCAATATCAAATTGGCATAGTTTGCGAGTGCGAAATGTTATTGTCAAAGGAGAATGCTCATGGATGTATAGACCACAGTACAATAGTTGCATCAATACCAAACAAATGTGAAATGATCGTTTAATATTCAAATTAGTATGACAATCGGTATTTCAAAAATAAAAACAGGGGTTTAATGTTATTGTAAAAAATGTGCCATAACCTCAAATCCTTAATAACCCCTATTTAAAGTTAGGTTTACAGCTATTTACCAATAATTAGTAACACGTGGTTATTTGCTTTTTGATGGTACATACATCGGTAACAAAACAAAATCGATTAAAATGTTTAAATAATAGGGTACTATGGCATCACTATTTTCACGATAAATTAACAAACGTTAGATAGGTATCCGGCTCAAAATATAAACAGTACTATGACTAATATTACTTCTAAAATGATTCCCTGTTCAAAACAGCCATTCTGATAGACCAACGTACGTTTAAATTAAAGAAAATAATTATCATATTATTTTTATCTTGATGCGTGAGACATAGCTGTACCAAACATGGGCATTCTCCTTTTGAATGGAAACTTAAACAGCAGCGCCACAATGAACGTAACGAGAACTAAAAACCAGTACACATTTGACAATGACATTTCGCACTCGCAAACTATTCGAATTCGACATTGATTCGTGCTAAAGGTACTGTTATGAGCAGTAAATGTACTATATCCCCATACAAAAATATTTTGATGAACATCGTTTACAAAATATCCTAAAACAGTGCAGTTAATAGCATACCAACCTACATATTATGAAATTATTATCCATCCGAAGTATGTAGATCCTTAAAGTAGCTTTATTTGAATCAATTTATCACAATTAAAATAATTAAACTTTCATAATTGCACAATTAATGAGTTAACATGGAGACATTTTACGGAAACGCTCGTAGGAACTCTACATAATATCATTTTAGTCACCCTGCGATGGACCAGCCTTTGCAAAAGTTACACTAAACTTCTATAGACTGAACGTTGTAATTACGCTTCTTTTTATTAAAGTGAAACTTCTTTACGCACGATTGACTTGGAGGAAAGCTGGCGAATGCGTTACGCGTTACGAAGTGTGTTCGGGCGAGGCGAACGGGAGTTGAGTGGGGGATATAAGCAAGAGAACGCAGTGCGCGCGCACATTTTCTGTCTCTCTTTCTCTTATAGCTAGTAAATGAAATATATGTATCTATTGTACACACATGTATACATACAGATGGAGCTAAAGAAGTTTCACTTTAGTTGTGTGGTCAGAAGCACACTCGTTTTTTTTAATCTACAATATTCTTCTGTGCGATTCAAATATTGCAGGTAAACTGGCATCCATGAAGCACCTGAAAGAAGAAGTGACCACCATCAAACGCGACATGGAGTGCGGGCTACGGTTCGAAGACACCACCTTGGAGCTACAACCGGGCGATACGATCGTATGCTACAAACTAGTAGACGCTTCCGACAGAACTAATTGGGATCCCGGCTTTTAGAGCAATTCTGCTAATTAGTAAACGATTTGATTGGACGATTTTGTTTTATTTTGACTAGTTTACTAATTACATGAAATATTTGCACAATTCCGGGGATATTCCTACGAATTGCAATTAATATAGAATATGAAATGTGGTTCCATGCAAACTGCGATTAAATGGGCGGGGCGAAATAACTGCGATCAACACGCCGATCATGGGATTGATTTTGATTTGCGTTTAACATTATTTTACCCAAAAAATGGATAGACGAATTTGCAGATGTTGAGTTGTCAAAGTATTTTGTTTTTTCTGTGTGCGTGTCGCGTTAGTATTGAAGTTTATAGTGAGTAATGCTTCTATATCATTTCTAATTCATTGGCGTATTCTAAACGACTTCTTAAACAAAAAGACATCGCATACTCTATTCTTAAACTTCCAATTTGTTTGTTCATTTTGATAGTATCTAATTAAAAATATTAGATTTCAATTTAGGTGGGCGTTATTTGCCTCGGTTCCTTTTTGTACAGGTTTTATGCTTTGTCAAACAGCCAATGACACTATAAAGTAGGTACCTATATACCTCTCATAAGTGTGACTTACAGTAGTCATGGAAATTTAATATCAAGAAATCAGAAATCTATCTTTATTCAAATTGGATGTATAGTACAACACTTGAATCGTCCAAACTTTTTTTTCCCTACCACTAGTTAAAGTGACTTCATGAGTTACCTCATATTGAAGTCATTTTTCAATTTGACGACTGTATATAATAAAGGTAGGAAAATACAGCCCTTGCCGAGTTTCTTGCCGGGCGGCAATGGCGTAGCTTTTCGACTTTCACAAGTGCTTGTAACAGCCTAAACTGAATAAACGATATCGATTTTGATTTTAACGAAAACTTTATTTCGATCATATTAAGTTTAAAAATTATGCATCTAATTTTTCCATTACAACAGTTTGCAGGACATCACTTCCATCGTGGGTGATTATGATTACCCCACCACGGGAATCTTCTGTACGTTTTAACTTTTAACACAATCTATGAATGCAAGATTGAGAGTATCAATGAGGTCTAGTTCTTTATGGGGCAATACTTTAGTATTTTTTTAACTTGTACCTCTGGGGCTCGAGCAATAGGTAAAATAAAATACATTTAATTGAAAGAGAATCTTCTATTTTATTATTAACATGATAGGCTTGTAATTCGTATCTCACTGGTTTTGAACAAAGAATTCCAATAAATTACGACTATCTAGTTACATTTTTGTAGGTGTCTTGTGAATAGGTTATAACCAATTATTCGAATTCGCATTTTAATTATGTCTCAAACATAATAAAGAGGGAGAAGTTGTAACAAAATTATATAGGTATCTTGAACATTAAGAAACAGAATAAAAATCGAGTTTTTTTCTGGTATCCGATAAATGTAAATAGCTTTATGCAAAGAACAGAGATTTACCTTAAGCCCTAAATGCAAAGAAGACTCGTCATCAAACACAGTTCTTATTGTAATAGAAAAAACAACTAACTAACAATGGATCGAAAAGAGACTTTTTCCCGTTTTTGATCGTTAATAAATGACTATTTTGAAAATTCGTAGGAGTGAATTACTTATTAATACCTACTTAACTATTTTCCAAGCGCATGACCTGATATTGTTATGCGCACTAAAGTTGACACTTATTTGAATTAACGGTTCTTTGCAGCAAATGAACAACATCAATGAACTGGCTTGGTCTGGCTTCTCTATATCTACGAGCACAACCTATGATAAGTATTGCTAAATAATTGTCTCTTGTCAAAAAGTGATCTATGGAAAATAAATACACATATCTACTGGAATTATAGCCCCTTATAGGGAAAATGGAGCTGCTATTTTACTGTCAAATTTGATAACATCTTTCTTCAAGGGTCGTGGGTAACTTGAACATTAATCACAAACCAAAACCAGCGATGGAAGTGAAATGCACTGTACACAAAGTATAGCGACGTCTCACTTTATCATTTGGATTTCGGACGGCTTAAAAAGTAATTGGGACTCTCCAAAGCTGCGTTAATTTGTTTCCTCGCCATTTGTTCTTTAAAGCACAATGTGGCTTCGTTTCTGCCTATATAAGTATAAAGAATTCGCTCAAATTTTTGAGGTCAAAGTAATCGACAATTTTTGTATGGAAAAAGCTAGTTTGTTCCTACGTCCGATAGGGGGCGCTGCTTAGTTTTCATCGAAACTTTGACGATCCGATATGCTTAGGTCTCTGTTGCTCATACTAATAAGTATATTGATTTGTTGATTATCTACATATTTTTATTTAAATCATTTAAAACTGTATTCCAAGATGTTTACCAAAGAAAATGTTACTTGAAAAAGTCCACTCGGTCCAGATTTCAGACGGCATTCGAACCCGCATCTTCCGCTATCGAATCCGCAATTATTTTCTTCATAATTTGTATCTTAAAACGAAACAAAATTTAATAGGGATAACGTACATAATTTTGAAAGTGTAATTTAAAATATCATTCGTTTGTTTTCCAGACTGGTCGACGACGAACGCTTAGTATTTGTATTTCAATTATTCTCACATTGTTACTAAGGAATTGTATCTGCTATTTGCTATGAAGTCTAAAAATAATTAATATGCCTGCAATCCAACTGCGATATATAGATGCACAAGCACTCCAAATACATATTAATCAGATTGCTAACGAAATAAATAAAGGTTTCCGTAAAATTATACTGACATAAATAATAATTTGGGGAATAAATTGGATTGGAGAAGTGATTTTACTCGTCCTTGCATAGCGAGGCGAGTTCGGGAATGAAACGAAATAATCTTGCTTCATACAACAAAATGGGATTAAACCCCGAAGAATGTTCTTAATAAATAAAGACGTAGATTTGATTTTTTTCTAACATTTATCTGTTTTACAAAGTATCATTGTGATAATCTATCAGTAGGCCAGTACTTTGATAGTCGGGTCTTGTATATCATGGAATTCTAAAGCATTTTAAAACATCTTAACTTGTGTAAGGCCACATAAAACACGTAAATTTTATACAGCGTAATATTTACAAACAATTTTTTGATATTTATTTCACGCATCAGATGTCTCTCTTGAACTTAAACAGTAATGGAATAACAATGTTCGGATTTAACAAGCTCTGAGTTGTCTTTTGTTTATGTATTTATTAAAATGCCTTAATTTCATTGTTAAATAGGAATTCATAGAATATTCTGAGACCATACTACGGTTAATAATAATTTACATTAAAACAAGACGTTATACGTAATATACATAAATAATAGTGACTATGATAATAAAATAACAATAATAATTTAGTTATTATGTAGAAATTTAGTAAATTATGGAAATTGACAATTAGCAGAGCGCTCAGTGCGATTATTGAAATAACAATTGGATAAAAGTGAAAACGCCAATCATTTTCAGTACGCCACCGTCTTTTGAAAAACTTAGCGTACTACGATACTCCATATTGATTATGCCATCCGTGGGGACGTCATTAATAAACTCGCACTGTGCACAGTATATACGGCGCTATCTCTAAATACGTTGAAGACACGCGCAAATGAAAAACAAAACTTTCCTAAACGTAAGAAAAGCATCCATCATAGGCTTCACACTTGCGCATTATAAATTTTTAGCAATATTCTTTGTAAGGTATAAGTCACTCGTCTGCGCATGTCCAACAATTTCAACAAATAAAGAGAAATTACATTTTGCTACAAGGTAGGCACATGTATTTTATAAATTTCACTTACACACTGCATCATCCTGTGCTTAAATGCCGACTAAAATCTGCACATTCTAAAATGTTCATGACATACAAGCTTTATCTCTAAAAACTCTAAGGGAATTCTCGCTCTATACAAAATATATTAGGTAATATACATTACAATATCAGATGACATTAGCAGTTATGTAAAAAGGCCAATATTGCATGCTGCAGGAAGTACTTTCGCAGATTTCGTAAGAAATAGAACTAAACAAGGTCCAAGTGTAATTGTCTATATTAAAATAATTATAACTAAGCTAATTATTTAATTATCAACTAATAGCTGAAATAAAACTTATGCAAGTCACACGTATTAAAATTTTCGATAAAACTCTGCAAGTTTTACAGGCAGGTCAATCGACTCGTCGAAGTGAAATGAAATAAATAGTTACACAAGGACAATGGAAAGCACACGAGTGCGATCATGCGATATAATATGCAATCTTTGATTGCAATTACCCTAAACTATATTTACACAAGTGAGCCAAGAGAAAATCGTCTCCTTAGAACAATACAATATACATTTTGCTATACATTTGAATCTCATTTCTATTGCTTTCAATAACTTGCAATCGTATATCATTTCACATTCGAAGTACAAATACAACATATACACCATCTGGAACTTTGCTGTGTAATTGACACAAATATTTGATATTTAAATAAATTTGCTGTGTCCATCCATACATATTTAAATGCGATTACGATTACCTACTTACTTAAGGGGGTATTCAACTCACACTCGTAGCCAGCACTAGCAATAGTATTTTACAGTTATCCCGCAATAAACAAGTTTGGATACGAAATGTATTGGAAAATGACTCATTAATGCAGGCACCGATTATAAATATAATAAACCTGCTAATTAATCTACTTAGTAAAGGTGCTGGCTACTAGGATAGGCAATCTGCATTTGCTTATAGGAAACCTATGAATATTTACGATAATTTTCTAAAAATGCAACCAAGGAAGAGCTTAGTAACATATTTATTGAAAATAGTAAAATGTTCTCGGGTCGCCTAGGGTTATTGTAGTTGTTTCAAATAACTCGCTACATTTCGTGTTATTGGCTAAATCTATTTATATGTAGTTCAATTAAAGTTACTCTACAGAGACACAGATGTAACTTATTTTAATAACGAAACAGTAATGAGTTATATTTGCTCTACAAGCAAAACAAATGAAACAACTACATAACCCCTTTGACTACAATAGCCCCGGGTGACGTTATCACTTTGGATCAAATAAAAAAGGGATAAATACGGTATGTCAAAAAAAATCCGATTCGACTCGACTACTTAAGCAACTCTTATACACACAGACACACACCTATAAATTAACTTTAAATCGAGCGAGCAAGACAAAACGATACGCTTTAAAGCAGCGCGAGAGAGTCTGCGAATCCGCGTCGCTTGACAACCGACTGCAGATGCTTTCTCTCTCTACAAACAGCTACGTTGTATTGTCCTTTTCTGGATAACAAATGGCAAATATAAGCCAATGACTTTCATTACTTCATGGTTAGTAGATTTTGAGTTTTTTTTTATAATATGAATGAAAACTTATGCAGTGGCAAATGTTATTTGTTCTTGAACTATGTATACACTTTGTAAAATCATCGAACGCATTGTTTCATCTTTTCAACACAGAATATCCGCAATATGGTTTTATGAGGCATGTTTGCTTGTCAAATTGTTTACACTTTTAAGACACGGGTGCCGTTTCTTCCCTTTTTGATTTAATCAAAAACCGGGACTTCACTTAGGTGTTCGTATTTGCTATTTGTCATGTTGAGAGCAGGATGTCCTTATCACAATCTAATGAGAAGAAAATTGTCAGTTTACAAATAGCAAATATGAATAGCAAAGTGAAGTGCCGCACCCAGATTATCACATTACTTACATTTGATTGATTTGATTGAATCCTTTCAAATGAAACCATAAAATTTGTAGTTTTTTTTTATATTAAAATACATAATGGTGCCGATTCTGGCAGGATTCTCTAAACTTAAAACTAAATTTAACATCAGTCTGTCCTTTTCATTCTGTAAAGAGAATGACAAAGATACACTGTTGTCAAATTTAAGTTTAACTTTAGAGAATCATGCCAGAATCGACATCAATATGTAATTATTGGTATTTTAATACTTATATTTAAAAAAGAAACTGGGTTTCAACCAGTTTTTAACTATTATTATTAGTAATAATAAATTATTTATCATCCTGTCATCTAGTTTAGGATAAAGTTTATGTACATTATTTTAATATTCAACTTTACGTCATAGCTTTTAGGATACAAATCTGTAAATCAAAAATGTTAAACAAAAATAAATTGTCCAGGATGCGGACAACAAAGTATGGATAGATCCAGTAGGAAAGGGGAAGTACGACAAAACTGAAAGACTGCGGCGTATTTTCTTTAAACTTATTCAGATGTCAAATTATATTTCATAAAAAACTTGTCATCTGAACGCAGCACTGCGCCCCATAGCCTAATATAACCGTGAAACTAATACTTTTCTGTCTTAGTTTACTGATAAAGTGTACAACACAGAAAAGCTCCAGTATCTTTCATCCATTCAAAAGTACCTTTATAACATGGAATAATTTATAGGCCTTCCAACCACCACTTCATAACACAACTATTATTTTTTATATAAAGTAATGTTGCAATGGCATTCTGATAAATTCTTACTTTCTTTGTCTAATGAAGAATGGCTTAAGATTGTCTTGTACAAGGTGATTTATGGCTACCATTATAGCCATAAATCACCTTTGTGCCAGATAATTAAAGGACAAATCATTGTCCTTTAATTATCTGGCACAAACAGACCCATATCAACTATAAAGGTTTCATATTTGCATTACATATACAATTGGTTCTATGACCCACTATATGAAAGAAGAATATAAATAATCATTTCCCTTAAAAAATAAATATTTATATAAGAAAAAATGCGTGAATAGTGTGGCATCAAAAAGAAACCATTTAAGGACAGTTCCTCATTAGACAAATCATTTGCGTATAATCAGTTCATAATGCCCATATGCAACAGTACCAAAGGTATGGGACTAGTCTACAAGGTCGATCCTCTCGAATCTTCTATGCGCTCGTGGTTCTCCGTTTTGCGAGCGTGCCGGCCGTGCCCACGTGTTTACGCAACCATCAGCACACGCTGTAACCAAGTATTCTGCCCGGAATAATAGCGCCGTTAACCTTTCATGTGCTATCTTTTTACAAACAAGCGGCTCTAAAACTGGGCATTCATCGAATCTAGGGCACGAAGGAGTGCCTATCAACTTTAAGGGATCATAGGAATCATTAGAAGCTGCCCCGGCACTCTTCCCTCGTAACGCCACCGTGTTCGATGCTGATGTCTTCTGTTCCGCTGGCTTTGACGTCAAACTGAAGTTACGTCGGTGATCTGAACGACGATCTCCGAAGGAGAACCCCGCGAGTCTCTGCGTCAATGAATTCACACCCAAAGAACCAGAACTCTCTTCCTTTGCTTTTCCAACGCTAATGTTTAAAGTAGACACGTTGTTAGCTTTCGTTTTTGTTGCTTGTTTAGCACCAGAAGGCTCACCAGCCGCAGTCGCTTGCCCACTTAGCTCAGCATGCTTGTGACCAATTTTGTTTGATTTTGTTACTTTAGTTGGCACTTTCACTCCAGGTATACCGTTTGGTAAAAATGTTTGACTATTTGGTGAAAGGTGTGCTGACGCTCTGGCTCGCACTGGTGGTTTCAGCACATCTTCTGTCAAGTCCCATAAACACAATTGTGTATCCTGCGATACACTACCTAACCTATAACATTGCACACTCTCACTTTTCTGTCTATCGTCTTCAATGCCTTCCTCACTTTCTGGTTCAGTGAAACTGACCACATAAGGGTCAAATGCCACAACTGATACCCATGATCTGTGTCCTTGCCCACGTGCCACTACCCTCAATTCGCTAAATGACCACACAGTTACTAGATCATCTTCACCCCCAACTACTACATATTTACCATCAGGGGACCAGCAGACACACAGGAATCCTCCAAAGTAGGATCTTGCTCTGCCGATCAGTTCCATTGTATCATAATGAAATACCCTAAGAAAACCATCTTGAGATACAACTGCCAAATTTGTTCCACAAGGAGAAAATGCAAATTCGTTTATACAGCTACCTTCTGCTCCGATGACCCACCTATACAATGGATTTCTTGTAGATTTAGTCCGACAAGTGTGTATTGAGTAGCCATCCCCCTGTTTAAAGAGCTGGTAGTGTGGAGCTGTTGTGCCACAAGTGAGTTCTTCATTGTAGACATAAAGTTGGCCTGAAGCATGTGCCGAAATGAATAAATTACTAGAACCAGGCACCCACTTGATGCATGTTACTCGAGTTTTGTCTATTAGTCTCTGAAAACGATAATGAAAATAACTTTTCAATTATGCTAATTACAACGATACCAGTCTGTATTGTAACGGCGTACTTACGCCTGTTACTTCGACTAATAAATATTTTATATTTTGACATCAGCTACTAAAGGATTTTCCCTATTTCTCTATTGAAACAACATCTAGTCTAAAAAATAATTTTATTTTAAACATAAATTGTTGTAATTATAATATGTAATTGTAAAAATGTTTTCTAAATTTAATTCTCAATTTTGTAATTTGTGATCCATCTATGCCAGTATCGAAGTTTTGACGTGTGAAATGTTAGGACAAAACCAGAATTGAAGGCAACATTTTTCGATTTGAGTTTACTTGCGAAAAATTGCTGCATAATTATCTGATCTTAAAACATATTATTTTAAAATTTCTCAAGAAATATAATGATACTAGCGGACCCGACAGACGTTGTCCTGTCTACACGTCTTTGTGAATCTAAACCATTCTCAGATCCCCTTGAACACACACAAAAAATTTCATCAAAATCGGTCCAGTCATTTAAGAGAAGTTCACTGACATACACACTCACAGAAGAATTATATATATAAAGATAGGTGCAAGTTTTGGAGTAGGCCCATGGCCCCTAAATTCATTTTAAGAAAAACTGTGATTATAGGTAAGTTTTCTGATTTGTGATGCGGTACAATTATAAACCATACGCCATATTGAGTAGCCTGTCTCACAGAAATACAGTCAAAACCGAATATAACGACGTGTCAGTTATTACAACCAATTGGTAAGGTCCCAACCGAAACCCTATATAAACCCTTAAGTAAACAAACCGCCTATAACAACACAAGAACCCAGAAATTAACCTCTTGATTTTTGGAGTCTAAAACATGGAATGGCAAGCTTGTTCTTAAATCTCGTGTTAAAGTTATGAGTTTGACTTTTTTTTGCAAATGCAACATTGTTTTTTCTTACATATATTAAATTTTCATAAATGTATTGCGACACCAGTGTTAAAATATTAATTTCTTTAATTTTTTCTCTAAGGGATTCTCTTGCCTTTAAATTGTATATGACGCGAACAGCTCTCTTTTGCTCTTTTGCATGAAAATACTTTCGATATTAGCGGCTGAGTCCCACAACAAAAAGCGGTATGATATAACACGATGAAAGTAACCAAAGTAAACTAATTCTGCCGTTTCCACATCTCATATAAGGATCCCATTGCAGATTAGAGTCTAAAGTAATTCCCAGAAACTTTGTAGGATCCACTAACTCTACAGGATGGTCATTTATTTTTATACTAATATTAACCTGCCTCACATTAGGTAGAGTAAACTTAACGCATTTTGTTTTACTAGAGGTAAGTTTTAAATTATTTACCGTAAACCAAGGGTGCTCAAACGGTCGATCGCGATCGACTGTTTAACCATAATATATGCTTTAGTACACCCTACCTAGGTAGATACGTAGGTGGGGTGTATTGTGTAAACCAAATTAAGAACTTCAGAGAGAGCACAATTTACTTTGTCATAACAATCATTTCCTCTTCTAGTTTTAAACACTAAAGAGATATCATCAGCAAATAGCACTGTCTCACACATATCTCTTGTAAAGTGAGGAAGGTCATGATATAAATAAGGAAAAGCAATGGGCCCAATATTGAACCCTGGGACACGCCCATAGAAATGGGTGCTCCTGTAGACTCAGCTTCAATTATAACTACTTTCTGAATCCTAGCAGAAAGATAACTGTATCAGACTAAGTGAAATATTAGATACACCATAATGCTTCATTTTATTTAACAATGCATGAAGCAGTCAAACACCTTTGATAAGTCGCAAAAAATGCCAATAGCATCGTGCTTTCTCTCCCATGCCTCAAAAATGTGTTTGAGAAGTGCAATTCCAGCATCAGTAGTACTTTTGCCTCTAGAGAAACCAAAGTGTTTTAAATGAAATAGCTTATTTATAGAAAAGTGTGCTAGTAATTGGTTGGAAATTATTTTCTCAAATACTTTACTTAGCACTGGTAAGATAGATATTGGCCTAAAATTGCTGGGATCTGATTTGTCACCAGCCTTAAACAGTGGGATAACTTTAGCACATTTCATTAGATCTGGAAACACTCCCTCATCAATACATTTGTTAAATATAATGTGTTTTTTTCATAGTAAACTTATTACTTCTCTTTTCGATATTTTATTTGAAATTAAGCTTATATTCAGTATCTATAACCATAGTAGATATTACAATAATATGACTACTTATGTATATTATCGGAAATAACATCCTAAGTTCTATGTCCCTTCAATGTCGTAATACCCGGTTTCTACTGTATCTTTATTTCAGCTTTTGTTTATTTATTTTACCTTTACTTTTATACTGGGAACAAAGATTCAATAAAATTTTAAAGTGTACTGATATTGGCACAATGGATTCCAAAAATGGACTTATACAATAAATATATAGTTTAAAAGAGAAAACAATGTCTCATTCCATTCCCTATCAAAACTGTTCTGGTTATAAAATGGAGATGTGACCAACTGTTGCACAATTAAATTTAAATTTCCACCTTATATGCTAATCATGAACAACTTTATAATATTATTATTCTTATATTTATAACACTTACCTCTTCATTATACAATTTACTTAATTCCTTTTTTATAGGATCTATTAGTTGTATTTGGCCAGTAGAAAATCCTATAACTAAAGATACATTTTCAGCTGTCATTGTAACCGTGTTGAAGTCATGGCATGTTGGGTTTGTGCCTTTGTACATCTTTTTGTCCACTGGCTTTGAAAGATCAGCTGCCTGAGAAAAAAATAAAATATATACAGTATTAAATTAGAATTGAAACTTTAATATTCCTGCCAAGTGATTTCATTTAACAATTGAGTTAAATTACAATCTTGATTTTTTTCAAAGTATCAACACAGCATAAATGTAAGTATACACCCCAAGAAAACTTGTTAAGCCAACAACCATAAACAAGGAACCCAAGCCAGTAGCTCTTTCTCACATAAAAACATCTACTGTGCAACTTTATTTGTCTGTGGTTATTATAAGAGTATAGCAAAGTTAATGGGTCACAAATACCTTATTTGCTTACTCTATCAGGATTTCAATTTTAATACAATCTAACTTTTACAGACTTTAACCAGCTTTAATTTTGTATTTTTTTTTTGTAAGGTCATAAGAGAACTCATGTGTTGTACCTTATAATAAATCTAACACCTCGTTAACAACATAAAACACAATAAACATTCCTGTCCCGTCTGTTGCCTGGTCTGTGTGGAATTTTTTCTAGTAAAATTTTCTTTAGATTTATACATCTAGCACTTAAATGCTTAAAATATATAACTACAAGAAAAAATTCTGATTTTTAGAAAAGAAAATACTCACAAAGAATCTAGTAACTTTAAATATAAAACATAATTATAATTTGGTATTTATATATTTTATTATATATATTTAGATTACTTTTTCTAATATTAGACATATTAGTGGAACATTTCACCAAAACACTCAAATTCAAGATCTATCCTAAAGCACATACTTCTCCTAATATAAATTTACTAGATAGATAGTTTTTTTTATAAATAGAAATTAAGTCTCATCTAAAAAATGGAGTTGTAGGTTGAAATAAAAACAATGGCACTTTAATATTAGAAAGTAGTCAAGTTAAATAATGATCCATAATTAACAAACTTTTCTAATGGTTAGGAAAACATATTCAGAATACCTTTTTTACTCCTCTGTAGACATAAACGTAAAGCTCCTTTCCATGGTTAAAACATATTCTATCATCTGAGCCTTGACCGTCGGAGCCGGGTGCTCCACTCCCCGGCCCCGGTGGCAGTGATACCAATGAAACACGCACATGCGAAGAGCCTGAACCACTGGTATAACCCACGCGATTAGGCCTAGAATACTCCGATAAAGTCATCAAGCGGTAAGTGCCTTCTCTAGTCAGAAACTGTGTCTTCACGTCATCTTTCCCGCCAGCGTCAGGTTGTACAGCCATGATATCATATTATTCTTAAAATGTTCATGGAATCAGCCGTTTGAGAAGCCCCGATTAGAGTTGACAGCTCAACCAAATTATGTTACGGGATTTATAATACAGGCAAATGCACAAATCAGTGCAAATGGTCTCAGTTTAAACTATGAAATCTGTGCTTGCGTGCAAAACTGGGAAAACATTAAATATAACTATAAACTGACCTAAAATGTGAAATTTTACAATTTGTGTTTGCTTGCAACAAAAAGTCAAATGTCAAACATGACATGACGGTGACGGACGGTTCCAGTGTGACCAGAATAAATATTACGTAAATACCGAAGCAAATCAAAAAAATACTGTATTAAGTATACGTTTTAACAGAGCTTTACTGAAACTAGTCATATTTTTCTATTTAACTATATTATATATCCTACTTCATATTATAAATATGAAAGTTGGTATGTATGTAACTCAATCTTGCAAAAACTGCTGAACGATTTGAATAAACTTTGTTATGCATATAGATTTTAAGTATCTGTGGCGATGAAATCGCGGGCAGCCACTAAATAACTATAAGATTCTTTATTTGTAACAAAAAACACACGCTCTATTTATATGAAGAAAAAAAACGAATTACTTTGGAGAAATTCCTTAAATTAAGCCAACAGAACTGCAAAACAGAAAATAATTTCACTTAAATCATCTTAGACCTTAAAGGATTTGCCTGTCATGTTCTATCTGTAACTTGCTGACCACTGATCCTAAATGAATTAAAGACTTAATTCAGGAAATGAACTGAACATTAATGTTCGCGGGACGATCGCTACGGTGTTGCCATAGTTTTTTATTCAAAATACCCGAAAATACTGCCCTCCACCAATATACCTACCAAGATACTGACTAATAAAAAAATAACCGGAAAAGTATTAAAATACTGATTCTGGTCACTCTGGATGGTTCATTTTTAGTTAATTTTCTGTGATGAAAGCCAAGGAATCTAAGCCCATGCCGCCTACTTCTGATATTTGTTGTCACGGACCTGAAAAAATGACGGACGTAATATCAAAGGCAAATCATGTGAAGCATGACAATGACATGTAGGTCAGACAAAATCGTGTGTTGTACATTGTTTTTCCTCCGTGGTTGTACACTTGTTGTACACTACCTACACTCACACTAATGCACCAGGTCGGACAATCCGCTGCCATTTGAACTCGCGTGACAGCGCGTTCACACGTTCAATTGCTCCGATATATTTTTAAAAAAATGCCGTCTTGTGTGGTGAAATCTTTTAAAAACTACACGAGTAAATTTGAAAAGTCACAAGGAATCTCCTACTATGCTTAAGTATTGACGATTCTTGATATTTTTGAAGTTATACTTCTTTAGGCGCGTTATGAAAAAATGATGAGAGTGAAATTTTAAGATGCGCGCGCATCACTGTAACACAAAATTTTAACAGCATGAAGTTGGTCGCTTTAGCGACCAACTTCATGCGTTACTTTTGTGTTTACCGCACATTAAGAAAATCTACCAACAAAATAGAAATAGAATCTCTATTTAGTGGGTGCTAACGACTGCATTGTGAAGGCTTATCAAAAGTATTTATTAATCTGGAACAACGGAACCAAAGCGCGATTCAGGAGACTACAGCGCCATCTCTGGACCATTGGTGTAGTAGAACCAAAAACCACATCTTTATTTTTTGTAATAAAGTAACAGTTATAGGTATTCATATTTATAATATTTATCCACATGTTTCTAGTTTGTATATTCGGAATACGTGTTTGAGTTTCATACAAGTGCAAATCACATATGTTCTAATAAATTATATTCAGTAGCGATTTTAATTGAATATTTTGATTATTTATTTATTTTTTCAAATTAAAACTGAACTTTATTGACTGTGTCCTTTTCCAGACTTTTTATTAATTTATTGTAATTAATTATTTGCATGCAATTAAAAACTAATTTTAAACGATGCGAAAGAAGGATAACATCTCACGCGCGTACATAAGTACACGCACCCATTTTTTTTTTTATATTATATTTATTTACAAGGATGAAAATTGTAAACAAAAATACAACTGCGTGGCTACTTTATTTACGGGAAATTTTCCCTAAAAGTAGGGAAATTTGTATTTCTTGCATTTGTGACTAGGCAAGATAAGATTTCGTAAATTTTTAGGGTTCCGTATTCCAAAAGGAAAAGAAAAGAAGCCATATTATTCATAGAATATTTTATATAAGTTATTGTCTTGCCTTCTTTCTAATAGGTTTCCTAGAAATAGAAACCGTAGAGATGACTGGGTTTTAATTATTCGATACTGCAAAGGGGATAACAATTAGGAACCCATCACCTTCCAGTACTGTGTGCAGTTCACACGTTGTTTTGTTTTCGTTCAAACCGGAGCTTGTAAAGAATCTGAAACGGCGGAAAATATATAAAAATATTAAAAACTAGCGGCCCGTCCTCGCTTCGCTTCAGTGTAGAGCTGAATTGTTGTATTATACACAATGACATTCATCTATGTTTCTTCTTATACCTGCATGCAAAGTCTCAGCCCGATCGGTTTAAAATTGACAAAGTTTCTTACAAACTTTCATTCCCTATTTTATACTCTTGGGGGTAGAATTGATCAAAATCCTTTCTTAGCGGATGCCTACGTCATAACATCTACCTGCATGCCAAATTTCAGCTCGATCTGTCCAGTGGTTTGGGCTGTGCGTTGATAGACTACTATGTCAATCAGTCAGTCACCTTTGAGTTTTATATATATAGATACAGTTGAAACCCGTTAACAGAACTACTATACAAATAAACTTTTGAAACTAAATTACGATAACCAAAATTATTACAAAATGAATTACAGGCAGGACTTGAACCTACATTTTCTGCTGTCTGGGTGGATGCACTAATTGCTATGCTACCGAGAACTTAATGATCGTGACGAATTTCTTCTTGTATTTCTTAGGCTGCACGGTAGTGCAATTTCTTCGCATTGTAGGTAAACCACGATGTCAAATGAAACCATAGATATAGGATATAAAGATAGACAGAGTACCTATCGCTACTGTTCCAAAAAAATATCTGTGCATGTGTGCGTATCGGTGTTTGATTCCGAGTGATAGTGTCGATTTATCAAGATATGCTTAAAACACAGGATACCATAACACATACTTATTCAGTTTGTATTAAGCACATTTGTGTTGTGTTATATTTATTTATTATTATTATTATATGCATTATTGTTTTCTTAGTTTCACAGTGATGTCGATTCTGGCATGATTCTCTAAAGCTAAATTTAAATTTGACAACAGTGCATCCTTGTCATTCTCTATACAGAATGAAAAGGGGAGACTGATGTTAAATTTAGTTTTAAGTTTAGAGAATCACGCCGGAATCGACACCACTATTTCATAATAAATTTTATCTCAGTACGACTTGACAGGGCGCTGCGGCTCTTGCAAAAAATATATTATTAGACGAAAGGTACATCATGTTGCGTCTCTTTCTACGTTATAGGATTGGCATGATATCTCTTTTCCTCACTCTGTCAGTCTTTAAATAGCTACTCAATCTATGAATGAAATACTTACATTTGAAAGAAGAAATAGCAATATTAGTCTACTATATGTTTATTTTAAGCATTAATCTGCGCGATTTATGTATATTAATGTATGTTATTAACCTCATACTTAATATTAAGACACTAACATTTATATGTAAACAATAAAGTTCTTTTTACATAACAAGTGCTTTCTTTTCTGTCTCGGTGTTACTTCAAATAATTTGATAGACCTACATCATGTTTCTGAAGTGCAACCGTTTAAATTGCTGAAAAATCAGGAGCTCACAACGAGTAAAACACTTGGTAAATATCCCGTTTTTATAATATATATTTGATTACATAATGTTAAGAATGTTTTAGTTTGGGAGATTTAAAAAGTAGGGAAATTGATGATTTACCCGTCAACCCTCAAATCACGCACACGCTGTAAGCGGGCGGCCATTTGCATGCTTCACTCGAGATAAAACGAGGTTACGTCCGTCTTTTTTTCAGGTCCGTGTTTGTTGTATAATGCGATTCAACTAAGAATAGGATCGACGGGGCGCCATATTATGACGTCATAGCTGTCAATTCAAAAGAAAAAGGTAGAGTGAGCAAAAAAGTTTTTATTTAATATAAGCTATTTACTAAGATTAAGTGAGAAAAAATATCCGATTTTTTAATAAAATTTATTTATTAAGACTGTTGGAGAAAAATCATTAATCAGAATTAAGCTCTTCAATTCCGCTCATCTCTGCATTACCGCCGGAGTAGTTATGAATAATCATGCACTATTACTAGAACACATACGAACATGCATCCTATATGTAAACCAAAGTTTTAAATCAAGTTTCTGAACGCAACTTAAAGTGACATTTGGTTGACGATTTAGGTTATCAAACATTCATAGCCAAAGCTCAATAAATGAAAATAAAATATCAACCAATATTAATTAACAATATTTGTTATTGTTTGTTTACAAATGTTTGGTTTTTATTCCATAATTAACTGAGTGCTAAAAAAGGGTTCCAAGATTTTTTTGCAAGCCGTACTTTTCAAGCGACATTTGACAGATGGAGGTCATTGGCTTTCCTATGTTTATTTGAATCGCATTATAGCTTTCATAATTTTGTCAGAAAGCCTTACAATAAAGCTCTATTTCAATAAAAGTAGAAAGGAAATTTTTTGGTACTAGTTTTTATATTTTAACTTTGATACTAGAAAAAAAACTCTTTGTCCAGGCCTGAGACAGGATCCAAACATGCACCTTCCACTATCCGGGTGAACGAACTAGCGGAAGGATCTCCATACTGAGCATTCCTACGCGCTTTTCACGATCTGCACTATGCGATTCAAATAAGAATAGGAAAGCCAATGACCTCTATCTGTCAAATGTCGCTTGAAAAGTACGGTTTGCAAAAAAATCTGGGAACCCTTTTGTAGCACTCGGCTAATTCTAGAATAAAACCAAACATTTGTAAACAAACAATAACAAATATTGTTAAATAATATTGATTGATTGAGCTTTGGCCAAGAATGGTTGATAACCTAAATCGTCAACCAAATGTCACTTTCAGTTGCGTTCAAAAACTCGATTTCAAACTTTCGTTTACAAGGATGCATGTTCGTATATGACCTAGTAATAGTTCATGATTATTCATAACTACTCCGGCGGTAATGCAGAGATAAGCGGAATAGAAGAGCTAGATTCTGATTAATGTTTTTTCTTAGTCTTAATAAATAAATATTATTAAAAATCGGTGTTTTTTTTCTCAATCTTGGTAAATAAATGTTATTAAAAAAATCTGATGCCTTTTCTCACTTAATCTTAGAAAATAAGTTTTATTAAATAAAAACTATTTTTTGCTCACTGTACCTATTTGGTTTGAATTGACAGCTATGACATCTCAATATGGAGCCCAGTCGCTCCTATTCTTAGTTGAATCGCATAGGGATGTCGAAAGTTGAAAAAAATATCGATATCGGCTTCGATATATCGCGAAAAAAACATCGATATATCGATATATCGGACCAATATTCCCAAAAATATCGCTCACGAAATATGACACGCGGAATAATAATGGAACGAAAATTATCTCCCTAAAAATAGACCCTATTTTCGAATAATGACATAGACAATACTAAATACCGCACAGATCATAGATATGTTGTATATCATTAATCTGAGATCCAGTTACGATTTTTCCAGATACGAATTTAGTTAGATCGTGATATGCCGCTAATAATTAAAAAAATATCGTTTTTGATACGAATTTCGATATTGGTTATTTTGTATCGATATATCGAATCAAAATATATCGATATATCGAACAAAAAATATCGATACATCGATATATTTTCAACAAGCCTAGAATCGCATTTTAGACATGGGCGTTTTTGGTTTTGAACGCAAACGGATATTTATCGGATTTCAGATTTCAAAATCGATTTTAAAATCCGTTTTTAGATATTCCATTTCAGATGTGCCGAACTTAGCCAATTCACTAGTTTGTGTTAAGATTTGGTTTTATTAGCTAACGACAATCACAAACAATTAATTGTACGAAGCAAGGATACTCGTAGGTTTGCGCGATTTTCCTTTATGCTTTAAATCTAGGCTTAGGCAGAAGTATATATTCTGTGGCTTAGGACTAGCAGAAAAGTTATCTTTACGGTTAAAACTAAAACTTTTGCGGCGCATTTAAAAATCGGCTTATATACAATGATTTCTTTTTACATATTTTTTTAGTATTTTTTTTGTTTTTGTTTATTTTTCAAACCATTTACAAAATCAAACCTAATTACTTCAGGTTAGCGTTCAAAAAAATGTCAGTTGCTCGACTTTTGATGTTTTTAGACGACATCTTTTTCAGTTTCCGTAAACAGCAAACCGAAATCGGACTTCCGAAAAGGAAAGCACGAATTTCGAATCCGATTTACATTTGGATACTTGTGGTGGTATTAGATCGCTACGATCGTTTTGGTTCGGTTAGATTTCTGAAATCGGATTTTCTTGTTGAGAAATCGTTCGCTATCGATTTGTGTTTGAAATCGGATTTTGGATTCGTTTTGATATATCGGACGCATGCCTAGCCTATCGCATTTTACATCGTCGGTGACCATACCACATATATAGTGATCTGTACTTTTTGCGGTGACCGACGGTCGGTCTATCTCGTATGGGTAGATTTTTTGTAGGTCGCTATCGAGAACCTTTTCGCCAACCGACCAACGTTTCTCCTCGCTACGTACGCTCACATGCTACTTCAGTTTCTATATATAACAATGTACTCTATGTACTTCAGCTTCAGCCTACAGCAATGCTGAGCTATATCGGTTATTTTAGTTGTTTATGTGCTATTGATCTAGGGAAATACTGAGCATCGATCTCTTGATTGCTCGCTGTGTGACCTTGAGCCTTTTTAAAGGCTATATAAATATTAGACCCATAGTAAATGACTACGTTTCGATTCCATAGGCAGTCCTAACTGGCAGGCAATTTTTGACCAGGGTGAAACTCCAAGAGCAGGTTGTAGTGAAGAGCCTTAAACTGCTTAAAACCTGAGTTGGCAAGTTGTATTCACAGGCAGTTGCTAGAATACACACTGTCTACCTTCTAGTGTCTTCTGTGTTTCGCTTGCACTCAATCGCAAAGTACTTACTCGATGCCTTGGATAGGTTGCAGCGGCGCGCTGCCCGCATCATTGGCGATAAAGAAACTCGAGTCTTTACAATTACGCCGTGATGTGGCATCATTAAGCGCATTCTACCGACTATACCACGGCGAGTGTTCTGAGGAGCTATTCTCGCTTATCCCTCCATCTCAGACCAAATTTATTTGGTCTGAGCCCTCCATTACCTTTTCTTTTCAGAGGACCACGCCCGCTGGCTTACGTTGCCATCGACTTACTGTGGCCACTATTCCTACACGAACAAAGGAGGCAAATGGGAATAAAAAAAACTGAAGTGGAGGCAAGACTTTATTCTTCTTCTTACATTACATACAGGGCAATGTTGCTGAAAATGATCTCTACATGCTAGATTTATGCCACTGCACAAACCTTGAAGGGCCAGGTTATTTCAGATACAAGAAACTAATAAAGCACATAAATATTAATAACCATTTATTTTCTCCTCACTGAAAGTGTAAAGAACAATAGGTAAACAAGCTTTGAACAATACAACTATTAGGTTCAATTTATTATTGAATATAATAATTTGTTGTATTAAAATTAATTAAAACCGGAAGTTTCAAATTATGCAAAAGTATGGCTGACTGAATCATGGCAGGGCAGTGAGAGTGGACAGGGAGGATTCTGTTGATAGCCATCGAAATATTTGGATGTAACGTCTTTAATTTAATATTAAAAGAACTGCTAATTTGCAGTTTAATAAATAAGTTGTTGGTTTATGAACGAGTTTTTCTTACACAAGCACCTTTAACCTATAAATATAGGCGTCTAGTGCACTGTTCTATTGGTATTATGTAAGTGTTAGTTGTAACACTATTTTTATTATGAAAACAAGTAAATGTGTTTAAAAATATTAATGGAATAGAATTATTTTTGAGGAATTTCGAAATGAATAATGAAATTCAGCAATAAAAAAAAAATTACACCAAACTATATAAATAAGTCATTTTTGAATAGTAACCCTATTCAGCAACATTGTCTTTCTTTTCACTGCAGACCGTTGATTCAATTTTTGCTTTAGTTTTATTATCTTTCATTTCAACAGAATTTGTTTTCTCTGTTTTTTTATCTTCGGCTTGCTCTAAAAATTTATCCCACTTTTCTATACGCTGGTTGATGTCTGCATCAGTCTCAGCAATCCTATATTTAGTTCTGCCATCCCAAATCTCTGCAGTAATCTGTCGTTTCCCAAACCATCTACCATTTATTAACTGGACAACAGCATCTGCTTGTTCTGGCTCTTTCATCGTGATCTGTGCTACTCCCTCAGGATGTCTATCATATATAACAACTTTTCTTACCTCTCCGCTTTTCGTGCATTCCTCCCTTAAATCCTGCTGATAATCTAAAATTAGTTGCACTTCCTTATCAAAATCTGTAGGATGAAATAAGTTTTTGACAATAACTACACGTTCATGTTTAGAGCGTTCACCAATAAACTTTTCAGGTCTCCAATCAAATAGTTTCTGTTGCATTTTTTTTATCTTTTCTAGTTCTTTCTTCTTTTTCTTTTTTGGCTTTAGCGCTGGATTGTATTCTCCTTTCAATTGGAAACATGCTCTTTCTACTTTTATTTTATTTCCTTTGAAATCACTGCCATCTAATAACTTCAAAGCCAAGTCAACTGATTCAATCTTTATATAAGTACATAAAGCATCACCTTTAAAGCAATTATGTTCTTTATCCATATAAAGCTTGACTTTCATTTTCTGTGAATGAGGATCTCTTTCTACAAGACCACATTTTTGCATTAAATTAACGAACTCTTCCTCAGTTAAATTAGAAGGTAAATTAGAAACATACACTTTAGTATTTCTTTCTTCCGAAGGCTCAAACCATTGTGGCTCATTTTTTCTTTTAACCCCAGCAGGATCTGGTTTCTTCTGGGTGTCTTTTTTGTCAATCAAATTCTTTTCTTTTTGGCTATCTGATGTATTATCAATAAAACCATAAGACATTTGATAGACAGCTAAAAAGTCATCATCAATTTTGGGCAACCATGCTTTTTTATCAGCATCCCAGAAACATTTAGAACCATCAGGCTCGGTGTAAACATGTGTATCATTTTCAAAAGTATACACTCTACCTGGAGCTCCATCTTCACCATTTTTCGGAACCCAAGAATTACTTGTGGTGCTCCAAGTGTACTTCTGTTGAGAAGTAGGATCTGTGTATATGGCTTCTTCACCTTCATAAGTTATGTAGGGAGCATAATCACCCCAAGAAGTATTTGATTTGACGTCATCAAGTTTAGTACCGGAATCATTAGCATTATCGTGCTTCCCATCTGAAGAAACAGTTGGGACACTTTCTGACTTGGAGTTACTAACCTCCTTATACTCTTGCAGCTTATTTAACGGATTTTCTTCAAATTGGCTCTCTTTTATGATTTCATTGTCACTGGGAGTTCTTTCTGTTTGTACATTTTCTTGGTTTTGTTCTTCAACAGACAGTTTTTGCACAGTTTCTGAAGACAACTTTATAACAAACCCAGACTTTGAAATTTTATCTTTCTTGGGCATTTTTCCTTAAAATTGGAAATGATTCAACTCGCGAAGAAGCAGTTATCTCTCAATGATTGAATGTACAATACAAATACAAATAACTGTTTTGCACGACATGAAAATTATGTTGAAATCTAATAAATTCACAACACAAAACACGACAGACAGAAACCTAAAGACAGAGACACAAATTTTTAGTCTTTTTAAGTCTCTCTTTTCAGGGAAGGCAAAGGAAACAATGCCCATACAGCCTAGTCTTAAGTTTTATTATCCTTCTATTTTTACATTAGAATGTCGATGTGACGCATTCTAATCTTTCAAGGAATATTTGGCACGAAATGGATCGAGTTGGCTTTTTCGATAAGCTTCAGTGAGTTAGTCAACACAACAATATAAGTTCTCACGTCCACTTGCCCGGAATAGCGTATATTTTAAAGATTCCACAACAAAGGAAGGCTGTAGAAATGTTAAACCAAAGACAGAACTATATTTATCTTACGTGTTCTGTTGTGACGCAATCTGCTTCATACATTTAGTACGGTTAGTAGAGTACTATACTTGTGTGTCGCGATGTGTCGACAGCGTTCTCACTTTAACCATAATAAATGTATGTTACAGATAGCTCTGATGCGTTACCACACAACACGACGGATAAGTGTAGTTCTCCCATAATGCGGTTAAATAAAATTAAAATCGCTACTGAATATAACTTATTAGAACATATGTGATTTGCACTTGTATGAAACTCAAACACGTATTCCGAATATACAAACTAGAAACATGTGGATAAATATTATAAATATGAATACCTATAACTGTTACTTTATTACAAAAAATAAAGATGTGGTTTTTGGTTCTACTACACCAATGGTCAAGAGATGGCGCTGTAGTCTCCTGAATCGCGCTTTGGTTCCGTTGTTCCAGATTAATAAATACTTTTGATAGGCTTTCAAATGCAGTCGTTAGCACCCACTAAATAGAGATTCTATTTCTATTTTGTTGGTAGATTTTCTTAATGTGCGGTAAACACAAAAGTAACGCATGAAGTTGACGACCAACTTCATTATGTTAAAATTTTGTGTTACAGTGATGCGCGCGCATCTTACAATTTCACTCTCATCAATTTTTCATAACGCGCCTAAAGAAGTATAACTTCAAAAACAGATACACTTAAAGGGGTTAAATTAGTTACATTTCTCTTTGGGCACACAATAAAAATAAAGAAGATGGTAACAAAGGCCTATCCAACATGATGTACTTAAGTACAGCATGGTGGTACGAACGTAACGTAGACTTTACAAAGCAAGCACTTATTCCTTTATAAGTTATTATACTTCATAATTGAAACATACCTAAACAACAAAAGTTTTTATTAGCTAGGTAAGATATGGTAGGTTATTGGGTATAAACTTTGAGCCTTCTCTCGAAGCTTCCGGCATATGGTGTGCCAGCCCAGTTCTGTTCCAGGGTAGCTGACTTCCTGCATGAGCGTAGAATTCGTGTCCACGTGTCCTTATAGATGGTTGTAGTTCGTAGTTCATGTCCTTCCCGTTCCCCTTGGGAATATTCATTGCTATGCAGACGATAGTACAGTACATGTGGGGCATTTCGGACAAGCAGCGGCTGGACAAGCGGTAACCAATGAGAAACGGGAGAATCTTGTCATTGAACGCAATGAAGCTTTGGACCACATTTCTGAATGGGGTACCAAGAATTTGTTAGAGTTCAATATTAAAAAAACCCAGGTCTGCGCTTTCACGGCCAAAACCCTGAAGATAAGGACATTCCTTTAATGCCCTTCTCTTCAGGGCACAACACTGGAGCTAGAGAGCAGTATCACCATGCTCGGTATGAAAACTAGCTGTGACTTAAATCCAAAGATTATCATCGAAAGCGTGGTAAAAACGGCTTGACGAAAACTCGGAGTCCTGAACAAAGTGCGGCGGTTTTTCACGCCCGAAAAACCGCCGCACTGTTGTATAAGACTATTTGCTTGTTGTATAAGACGCAAGTGCGGTCTTGTGTGGAATATTGCTCGCACCTCTAGGATGGCTCCGCCAAGTACTTGTTCGAAGCTTTGGATAGTTTACAGCGGCGCGCGTTCCGCATCATAGGTGACTAAACACCTAGAGCCTCTTCAATTACGCCGTGACGTGGCATCACTAAGCGCGTCCTATGGTCTGTATCACAGCGAGTGTTGTGAGGAGTTATTATTTCTTATTCCACCTTCCCCTTTCCTTCAGAGGATCACGCGCGATGGCCTTCGTTGTCATCGTGTAACTGTGGCCATATTTCCAACAGGCAGGCAGAACGCTGTACCAGCTATCTTGACGTCTGGACTTCACCGTCACTTAACATCAGCTGGGGTGGTGTCATTTGTCAGACCTATCTATAAAAAAAGCATCCATACATCTAGACTTACTGATATACAGGAAAGGTTCGTGATCTTTAACTTTAACTATCCACGAGGCAACGGAACTTACGTTTGAAACTGTCTATGTGTATAAGGTAGGTAAGGATTCAATTGCTGCACTGCGTTCCGCATGCTGTAGAAGCACTACCTACCAGTGTGTACTAGACTGATAGTATAGAAGACGACGCTATAGTAATAGACGACATTAATATTGCCGGAAGAGCCACGACGGCAATATAATAACGGCCTGCAACTACTCTAAGATAATAGATGAGATACCCTAACGACATAGACCACCAGCACGCCTCCCCCTGTCCAGTATTCGATCGCTTGCGCAAAACTATTTATCAAAGCTTAATGTTCTTTTATAGTGTTCAACTAATGACATCTGTCTCTCCTTTTTATCCTGTTGTCAAGTTTAGGTTTAGAGAATCATGCCAAAATCGTCACCGATAATGTAATAATATTAATATTAACCCATAGTAGATAAGCGCTGTAAGTGCAGATTTACCCAAGGCTTAAACAAAGCTCTGTAATTACAGATGCCTTTAAACAAATGTAAGTATTGTCAATATTCAGTAAGTCTCAGCCCCAGTTACAACCGGGTTTTCTCCCATGATTTGACCTCCCTAGCTAGTCTTCGTATGGGAACCTCCTGGAGCTCTCAATGGAAGCTATCCAGCAAGACGGTCGGAAAACATTATGCGGATATCCAAGATATCATCCCAAGTAAACCTTGGTTTTCCAAGTTTAAAAATGCCTCAAAGTCGTGTACTTCGACCATTTGCAGCTAAGAATAGGGCACGTAAACACCCCCGTCTTCCTTGCCAAAATTAAGGTCAAAGACAGCTCACTATGTGAATGCGGGCTGGATAAAGGAACAACCGAACATATTTTCTTTAGTTGCCCAAAATACCCGGTTTCACTCTATGACATCCTACCACCATATATTCCCAAACCTATGATTTTAAAACATCGGCATTACTTATACGTATCAAAATACCAATAAAGAAAAATAAAAAGTACTTAAGGCTAGGCTAAATGGACTCACTATCATTTGCCTTCCCATAAAGAGAAGTCAGAAGATATTTCAAATAAGCAAGCTGTTTTGTTTATTTTGCCCGGAGTCTGATTTTACTCAATTTCTGCGATTTTACTGATTGATTAGGTTTATTGATAAACATAAAATGAGTAATAAATCGATCGATTTAAAACTTTATTGGAATAAAATTAATTATGCTTTTCCTATTCTGAATGACACAATATTCAGTGACTGCACTGGCTCTGAGTATGATGAAGTGCAACAAATTATCACAGGCATGGGGATTCAAGTTAAAATTCGTGATCTAATACTTATTCATATAGAGAAATACCTTCGACAGCATGTCGCTCCTTCGTTTTGGTCAAAATTCGTGAAAGTTGATGAAGAAGTTAAAGGATTCCAGCTATTCAAATCAGCGGTTAATGACTTATACGAATCTGTTTCGAATTTTTCAGAAATGTTGCGACGTCTATCTATTTTGAATAGTAGCTGTTGCGATAATAAACCTATATTTGGTGAAAAAGATGTAATTTTGGGTTTCAAGCAACTTATTCGGGCTACGCTCTTATCACAACTCCCTTTGGATTATCATGTTATAATAAATCATTTCTATAAAATTTCATTCAATGTGTTCGATAATGAGTATGAGAGTTCAGACATGGGTGAAGATGTTATGTGCTCAGGATGTTGGAATGAATATTCTGATTGCAATTGTGCTTATATAGTAAAAGTGTTTCATGATACTAACAGGAAGTTGATGGATCTACAATTACTGGAGAGACTTACAGGGCAGGTTTTAACAAATTTTATTCAATTGAGAATTGAAACACACATACAGAAGCTTTGTGATGGTACATTTGATGTTTCTCATATAAGCTTTTTGGAGAATTGGTTGGACACAACTGTCATGTCTTGGTTAACCAGAATATATTGTGGAGGTTCTTCAAAACCACCACCTGATGACAAAAATACCCAAAATGCAATCTTACAGTTTAAAAAGAAATTAAGCTATTACTTGTATCACAGTTATACAAAACTCCGTATTGAACAACTGTTTAATATAATAATCGAATATCCAGAATCACAACCTGCTGTTGATGATATTAAAATGTGCCTTGACAAGACGGACCTAAGATTGACCCTCTGTAAAAGATTGCAATCTGCTTTAGAAACAAGACTTTTGCATCCAGGTGTGAATACCACTGATATATTAACTGCTTATGTCTCCACTATAAGAGCCCTGAGACATTTAGACCCATCAGGTGTCATATTAGAAACTGTTACTAAGCCAGTTAGAAGTTACTTGAGGAATAGGGAAGATACAGTCAGGAGTGTGGTTAGTAGTTTAACAGAAGAAGGTGCAAGTAGTGAACTTGCCGAAGAACTTGCTAAGTTTGCTGCAGAAGCAGATGGTGAAAATGAAAAGGAAGATGCTTGGGATGAATGGAATCCTGACCCGGTGGATGCTGATCCAAAAGTAAACTCAAATGATAGGAAGGCAAATGACATTATCTCAATGCTTGTAAATGTGTATGGTAGCAAAGAGTTATTTGTCAATGAATATAGAACCCTTCTGGCCGATAGATTATTAGCACAGAGTGTAATAAATACGGAAAAAGAAATAAGGTATTTGGAATTGTTGAAGTTGAAATTTGGAGAATCACAACTGCATTTTTGTGAAGTAATGTTAAAGGATATTTCTGATTCCAAGAGAATAAATGCTTTGATACAACAGGAGAAAAATTTTGAAGCAGCAAGTAAAAATTTCTCATCAAATGCTATGATTCTTTCTGCTCAGTTTTGGCCACCATTTAAAGATGAGAATTTAGAGCTACCAGAAGAAATAAAGCAACATTTTGAAGCTTATACTAAATCATATGAAGCATTGAAAGGGAACAGAACACTAAGTTGGAAACCTCATTTAGGTTATGTTAATATAAAAATAGAGAATGGTTCTAAGAATCTAGACTTAATTGTTTCACCCTTTAATGCAACACTAATAATGCATTTTCAAAATAAACCAGAATGGACACTCGATGAACTTCACCAAGTAATGAAGGTTCCGATAACTGTCTTACGAAGAAAAATTACATACTGGCAGTCTACAGGATTAATTTCTGAAAAGTGCACTGATACATATGTTTTAGTTGATGGATCTGATGAGAACAAATCCAATACTACAACAAATCAGGTGCAAGAAATGATTTGTGAAGATGATGAAACTGAAAGTGTAATGGCATCTGCTCATGACCAGAGAGAAGGAGAATTGCAAGTCTTCTGGTCTTATATTGTTGGAATGCTGACTAACTTGGATTCATTGCCATTAGACCGCATACATCAAATGTTGAAAATGTTTGCATCACAAGCCCCTGGTACTGAATGTAGCCTTCAGGAACTGAGGCAATTTTTAGACACAAAAGTAAGAACACATCAACTGGTTCTACAAGGTGGCATGTATAAATTACCAAAAACATAGAAGTGTGTGTAAATATTAAATAATTTTAAGAAACAGCTGTATTTTAATGTGTACAATTTCAAAACTTTTATATTATCTGCTGGTGTACTTCTACAGACAATCATGTTCCTTAAAACATTGTACAAACTCCAGTACAACCTTGCGCTGAAATGAGCGTAAAGTACTAGACTATCAGTCACTCAGTTTCTTCTTTTATTTATTTAGATATGTGGCCACGTATACACGTATGGTGTCGATATAAGTTAAATTGGTATCATAAATAAAAATAACAGAAAAGTTTAACAAAACTTTATTTTCAAATAGTTTCATATAAAAATACCCCTAACGGAGTGAAAAGGGATAGTAAATTTTACTGGGGAGTACGGTAGGGCTTGATAAAATCGGAAACGGGCTGAACAAATTTAAATAGGTTAACTTAGACGAAGTAGCGGGCGCCCGCTAGTATCTTATAAACGCTTAAGATACTGTCACAAACGCTCTCGAAACAGAACCGCGAATGTGCTAGAGATCGAATGTGCCAGAGCACCGCGGGTCGCGATAGAGGTCGAGTAATGCGGCTCATTCTAAAATGAGCCTTATGCAGTGCGTCGTAAGGGGGAAAGTGCAACGACATCTGCACTTGTTTACAAGTTATGCGCGTTACCTGCGTAGGTATAAGTAGGTACTTCGTATTCGCGAGTGCTAGCTAATTCTCAATTTAACAGGTTCTTTCTAGAATGCGTCGATCGGCGTATAATGCGATTCAACTAAGAATAGGACCGACTGGGCGCCATATTGTGATGTCATTCAAACCGAATAGGTAGAGTGAGCATAAAAAAGTTTCTATTTAATTAAACTTATACTAAGGATTAAGTGAGAAAAAGCATCAGTTTTTTTTAAATAACATTTATTTACTTAGTTTTAGAAAAAAATACCACCGATTTTTAATAATATTTATTTATTAAGACTGTGAGAAAAAACATTAATCAGAAGGTCTTCTATTCCGTTCATCTCTGCATTACCGCCGGAATAGTTATGGATAATCATGCACTATTACTAGGTCACATACGAACATGCATCCTTTATGTAAACGAAAGTTTGAAATCGAGTTTCTGAACGCAACTTAAAGTGACATTTTGTTGACGATTTAGGTTATCAACCATTCATGGCCAAAGCTCAATAAGTGAAAAAAAAAATATCAACCGATATTAATTATCAATATTTGTTATTGTTTGTTTACAAATGTTTGGTTCTTCTTCTTGAATTAGCGGAGTCCTAAAAAAGGGTTCCAAGATTTTTTTGCAAGTCGTACTTTTCAAGCGACATTTGACAGATAGAGGTCATTGGCTTTCCTATTCTTTTTTGAATCGCATTATTTAAAAGAGCGCCGCGCAAAAAAAGTTGAGTTTCAACAGTGATTTCGGAGCGAATCCAAAGGCGATCAAAGTGCAACAAAAGTGTTCAAGTGCGATTGTTTAGAGACTTGTATACTTAGTGAAATATAGTGTTTAGTGAGTGTATTGTAATTAAAATTGTGTGTTAATTGTGTGAACTGTGTGGTGAATAAAGAACTGTCAAGCGTGAACTGGCATATAATTTCGAACCCCATCCCGACACGTAACAATACGATGGCTAATAACCATTTAAGTCGCTTGGTAACGAATGCCTGCATGGTTTCTGCCGCCTCTCGCGCAGCATGCATTATGGTTGCACCCTTTCTCCCTTATTTAAAAAATAATAATATTTAATTATTTTATTTACAAGCATATACCTACATATATAATGATGGCGATAATGGCACGATTCTCTAAACGCAAAATTAAATTTAGTATCAGTGCATCCTTGTCATTCGCTATTTAGAATAAAAAGCAGAGACCAATGTTAAAGGACACGGTTCAAAGTATGGAGGGTAGTCAGTATCCAGCAAACTCCAAATTATGAATTTTAACACGACATATAATAAACGAATGTGGATCGTCGCCTTGTCTTGAGAAAGTCGCTAAAAATATTCCTACCTAGTGACTTATCAAATGCAAAAGTCGTTGTTGAGCTATTGCAGAATTCCCTAAATCTAACGACAAATTCCCCAAATTGGCAACACTGTTAGAGTGGCGGCGAGGTTCGTGTCCCGCACGGGATTCGCCTCAGCATATATTTACCTTAAATAAAACTAGTTTTTACGGGTTAATGCACGAAACTTTATTTATTTATTGACGTTTCGTAGCCTTTCAACGTCGTCGTCGTCGAAACGTCAATAAATAAATAAAGTTTCGTGCATTAACCCGTAAAAACTAGTTTTATTTAATGAGTGATGTGCGTGAAAACCTAAGAAAAAAATATATGTATACCTTTTCTCTTTGCGCCTCAGTTTGCATGAAGCGCGAGCGAGCGAATTGCGCGAGAATCGCGTCTTAAATCTTATTTAAGCCTCAGTCTAGTACTTTACGCTCATTTCAGCGCAAGGTTGTACTGGAGTTTGTATAATGTTTCAAAGAACTCTGTTAGGTTCGTTTTAAATTTTATTTTAGGTCACAAGTAGAAATACTGAGTTTTGGGTTAGTATAAATTTATCCATCTAAAAACTTAGGCACCCTCAATTCCCCTTTAGGTGCAGATTAAGGAAACCAAAAATGGCAAACTTAATAATTTATAAATAAGTATTCGTAACAAGTTTAAAGTTTAAACTCACAGAGTATGATTTTTTATATAAACTTTTATCCTCTATTTTAAACTCTTTCGGGGTGAATTTTGAAAAATCCTTTATTAGTACACCCCTACATAAGGGGAGTTAAGACTATGAGGTTTTGGTCGTGCGTTTATTATCAGTCACTCAGTTTCTTCTTTTATTTATTTAGATATGTGGCCACGTATACACGTATTAAACTTCTCTGACGGGTCAATATAGTGAATACAACTGTAGATGTTATTAATTATTTATTACTGTTACAAACGCTTGTCGGTACAATAATAACTTCTCTTTTATTTTAGGATTTATAAAACAATTGCGTATTATTTTCTTTTTATCAAAACAATGCTATCCCATTCTCTCACGATCATCTGACAGACCTTCCTTTCTTTTTTTTTTTTTATGGCCGGCCGTTGTCGGCGCATAGAACTCATCAATTTAAACAGCAAAGTAAGATAAGTTACTAAGTAGTGAAGTTAAATCACTATAACATTATATACTAATAACAGTTTTTATTTATTTTGTTTTATATTTTATGCGGGATCGCCAACAGTCGGCCATCCTGCTTCAGGAATGTCCCTATTCCTGTCTTAAAATTATAATGTCTTAATATTATTATACATATTAATAATTTTAATCAATATTTGTATGTAAATGTTACGTACAATAGTAAAGGATTACCGCAGAAAAAAAAAATAAGAATTCTGTAGTAGATACTCAATAGAATTGTATCAAAACACAAAACTAAACAAAAAAATATAGAATTTTGTAGACCTCTCGGCCTTCCTGCAAAAGGGTATGTCTCTATACCCGAGCCTAATGCCAAACTAGTTACAAATCTGAACGTTTTAAATAATTTTGAACAATGTCTTTTAATCAGATCAATAGATAGTTTTCATAATAATCATTAATTTTCTTGTAAGATAACAAAGACATGACACTGATCTTAATTGGTTCACAATAAAAATATTAACAATAACTTCTTCTAGTATTTATCAATCGTAATTTCTATGTTTATGATTAATAATTATATTGCACATAGCGCCATCGACTTGCGGGAATTTGATTTACTCTAGTTGTCGTTGACACTGCTACTCTGCTTAGAGCCTACGTAGTGATGGCGTCCGTTGACTGCCTTCCTCCGCTGGCCATCCTCGGGATACAACCTGTAGTTTGGTTTATATTATTAATACCATATCAGAAATATATAACTCTTTGCTATATGGTCTAAGTCATAGTCTGCTACCGTTAGCCACAATCTGGATACGGCCTGCTATATTATGAATGTATAGTCTGCTACCGTTTGTCACCCTCGGAACACGGCCTGCTTTAGTAAGAAATCATAGTCGAATACCGTTTGCCACCCTCGGGACACGGCCTACAATAGTAAAGTTCATAGTCAGCTACCGCTTGCCACCCTCGGGACACGGCCTGCTTTAGTAAGTCATAGTCAATTATCGTTTGCCATTTTCTGCCTCCCTCAGAACACAGCCTGCAATGGTAAGAAATCAGGGTCATCTACCGTTTGCCACCCTCGGGGCACGGTCTACTTTACTAAGAGTAAAAATAATCCCATTCAACTACCGTTTGCCACCCTCGGGACACGGCCTGCTATACAGCTAATTTCTTATTAGAAATTATGTTATTACAATGTTATTACATTATATTTAAAACTTATAGTTTTACATAATAAAATCAATTACCATTTGCCATCCCTTGGACATGATCTGCTGTAAAATTAACATGGAATAAATCTCTTTTCATCCATTTCCAGTATATTGTTAGTCTGCTAGCATTAGTGCATTCCCCAATAATTAACGGGTAAATACTATCGTCACTTCCCTTTCATTCACATGCATACCTAAGCTGTAACTGTGGGGATACTTGGTGTTGGGAAACAGGTATTTATACATACATTTAAAGGAATAATAACATAAACAAATTATAAACTAGTCAGAATATAGATATTCTAGCCTGTTTTATCAATTAATTATCAGGTTAATTTTCGTCATCACAACTAGAGTCGCTCATCTCACTTAAAGGTGGAGTCGCATGAAACGTAATCCATGGCTTTAAATGATCAGCTGGAAATATATTTTTGTATTTCTTTTGAGAATGACCTTTGATATTCATGACTTCATATCTATCTCGATCCAGAACGGCAGTTATTTTAAATGGGCCTCGAAATTTAGGGGCGAGTTTCTTACTCTTGCCTTTTTCTGGGTTATTATTCGGAATCATTACAAGATCACCCTCCTGAAATATCTTTGTGGGGCCACGCTTATTATCAAACGTCTCCTTCATCTTCTTCTGTGCTTCTATTATATTCTTTTCT